AATGTCTGCAAAGCTGCAACTGTATGTGTAATATATTTTCTAATTCAAGTCGCCTTTGTGTTTCTTGTCCAAGACTGGAGTCGGTGGTGCAAGTAAAGACATTAACCAATAAGCACAGGGTAATTGAGATTGCAATGATGAGCAATTTGTTTCTCACAATTAATATTTCCATGTGTGTGAGAGGGAGGGAGGGGTTGGGGACCGGAAGTGTTAATTAGAACTTAAAACTACTAAAACATTGTCCAAGAAATTGCCTGAAACTGCATATATATATATATACACACACATACATATAGAGAGAGAACGTAAAAGCAAACCTACCTACTACAACAACAACCATTAAAAAAATCAAAGTGAGTTTAAATATTATTGTTGAATGGGAATCATACCTGCACAATGTCGTGGGTCAGTGTATATGCTGCATACTGGCACCACCTTTTCATCCTCCATATTTCCAAGTTTAAAAATATTCTTATTAACTTAGTCATTAATAATTTAATTATATTATGAATTGTTCAGTAATTGAAATATTGTCCAAATAAAATATCATATTTCTTTTTGGTGCCATAAAAATGCACTTTTTTATTTTTCTGCTAGAAAGTTACTCTCACACACCCATAAATGCCCTTTATGAATCTCAAATGAGCGGTTATACAACTTGGGTAAATGGATCCGTCAAAATGTTATGCTATGTTTGGTTGGACAGAATAATTGAGGAGGGATGGGAGTGAAAAGTTTTTTGTGTTTGGTTGAATAATTTGGAATTGATATATTTTTATAATTTTAGTAAAAATAATATAAAAATTCTATTTTTTTTTTTTGTTATAAAAACTCTATTTTCTTTACTTTCAATCAAACAAAAAAATGTGTTACCACATTTATTATTTTTACTATCAATTACATCCGACTAAACAAAAAATGAAGGAGATATATCTTCCTTTCCTTAGGGAATTATCCTATCATCTGTCACTTATCTTCTTCCTTCCATCAAATTTTCCATCCTATTAAGCAAACGGAGTTTTAGAGACTAGAAAGAAATAAGGGTAGACACTTTTTAAATAAAAAGAAAAAAAAGTAAACAAGAAAATAATATACCTTAACATATTATATACAAGTGTCACCAAACGCTATCTAAATAGTGATAAGAAGAAATATATATGCCCTGAGTAAGGTAGTTGAACAATCACCATAGATAGTCTGTTATGTTCAAAGCAACACTCATCGTTGTGGATGATAGTGGTGAGGGGTGTTCTTTTTGTATTTGAAGGCCATAAGAACACATTTATTCTTTAATTTCCGAGGGCAAAATGAATTAGTTGATTATCAAAATATATTTATTATTTTTTCCTCGTCTTCTTCATTCTCTTTATTTTTTCTTATGCTCAAATATTTTTCCTTTTTTTTTTTTTTTCCTGAATTCAAATATTTTTTCTTTAATAAAGAATAAAAGATTTTTTTTCCTTTCCATATCTTATTTGTCTTCCATTTTCTCTCATTTTATTCTGATCATTGTTTTGTTCATCTCTTTTGACATTATTATTTTTTTTTTACAAAATAAATAAATATATAAAATACACCATTAACAGATCGGATAATAAATTGAATTATACACACCCATTCTCTTATATTTAAATTGAATATGAATTTTATTTATAAATTTTTCTTCGTCGGATTAGATCAAAGAATATCCATATTAAATTCGGTAAATGGGTCCCTCGACAGTGGGTAATGTATAATTCATCTAATTGTCTATTGTGCATTAAAGTAATTGTTTAGAAAAATAAGTAGGAACAATAGAAAAGAAAAAAGGATGAATATGCTTCTGACTTGTTTCTATTTTTGACCTTGATGGAAATTGAATTTTAGGACCACATTATATATTTGTCATTTAATGTGCACTATAGCCCCATGACCCATTCTTCGGAACAATATGTTTAGGTCCCCATTTGTTATAAAATCTGTTTGGACTAGTGCCCCCACCCATAATTAAAAATATTGGCCCCACAAATGGCTTAAAACAAAAGGAACAACAACTAATCTTTTGTCAATTTACTTATGGCATATTTATCTTAATTGAGGGGTACTTAATGTGTAACTATCATGGAGCAGCCGATAAAGCAAGTTCAATTATAATGCCACATAAATAAAAAATACACTGAGTAAAACTATCAACTAACACTTCCTTGAATGAGGCGCATTCGTGTCGTGTCGTGTCGTGTCTGTGTCATTTTCTATCTTTGTCTGTAAATAAAAATAAATTTTTATTATTTTAGACACTTTTCAGATACTTCCGAACAATTCATTGACATTTATTGAACATATAGGTTAACACTTTCAAACATTTCTATCACAAACCTACCTGATAATCTTGAAAATAATATGAACACATTCTAAAATGTTCAACTTTTTTCTTTTAAAAAAAATTGACATTATACACGTATGATCAAAAGTGATGTATTATATAATATATATATATTTATTTAAAATAAAAACACTATTACGACAAAGTTGTGAATATAAAGTCATTACAATTTTTAGTATAAAAATTAGAAATGAATTAAAGTTTAATAGTGATATTACTCAATAAATGTATATAAATAAAAATTTATATTTAAATATAATCGCGTCCAAGTCATACTCGTATCCTACTATTTAAAAATTTAACATGTCAGCGTGTCCGTATCGTATCGTATTTATGTTCATGTTACATTGAAAAAAATAAATTAAAAAAAATCCAAAATATTTATAACTGTTTATTATACCGCGCCATCATTGTAACAATTTCAAGTTATCTATAACAAAAGAAAGGTAATAAGGCTTTTTACCTAAAGAGCACCATGGAAGCAGGATAAGGATGTTGTACCTTCTCCTAAATTGGGAAATGGAGGGGCCTTTTTTCTTTTTGTAAGAATGGAGAGCCATTTCCCATAATCAAAAGAAGAGAGAGAAAAGCTAGTTTCACTAAAAAGGAAAACCTCGAAACAAGCTTTTTTTTACCAGTCCCTCCAAATGAAGAAAAAAAACGTAAGTAAATGAGAGATGGGAAAAAAGAATAAAACAATAATAATGTAATGATTTTTTTTTTTTTTAATATATATATATATTCCAAAGGATTATATGCTTGACGCGTAAACAAATATATAAAATTTATTTAATTTTTTACTTATATGTCGAATTGTGATTAATTGTGATCATATTGTCATAAACCATTTAAGTATGATTCATGATTAATTAAAGATGACTAAAAAAAAAAATTTGTACTCCTTCTATTTTAAAATATTAGTCTACCTTAAAAATTGTGACTTACTTAATTTGAAACTTCTATAAAGAGAGTAAGTGAAGTTCAAGACTCCTGTACCTTGTAATGATGTTTGATCAGCTTTATCTTTTAAAATCTGAATTAGTCAATTAGGTTTTGATTGATTGAGATAAGTTTGTACTAAATTGTGGGTCTTATTCAAAAAATGGGAATGACTTTTGCTATGTTGAGGTTAATTTGTTCAAACTTATACTTCTAAATCAATGATGTGAAAGCAGTAGTTGATTGAAGAGCCAAGAACCACTAAAATAAGCGGCTTGTTTGGAATCCTATGTTCCATATCCAAATTATCGAGTGTTTAAGCATTATTTTTAGCTACTTACTATAAAATTAATTTTAACAATTCTTTATTTGATTCTTCGTCTACAACTGTATGCGTTCACCACATGCGCATTTTAGCGGTAACCACTAACCAAGAACACTTCTTTACCCGCTGGACAATTACTTGGGGAAGGTATCGACCATCAACGTCATCGTTGGAAGTGATTCAGCCATTTTCGTAATTTCACGAACAAAAATCTCGTCCCCAAATCTCCCGTTGCCTGTACTCTATATTTTGACCTTTTAGGGTATGTTTGAGACTGTTGATATTTGGTTAGAATAGTTAATAACATATAAAATATTTTTTTTTTTTTTTTTTTTTTTTTCAAAACCCATATTACCAAATTGAGAATATTGTGTTTTTTGGTTTCCTAAATTTTTAAAATAAATTTTCGTTAGCAAATATGGTTCATTTCTACAATGAACATGATTCTGATTTCTACTTAAAACACTCTTATTGTTTTGGTATTGACCAAAAATACGACGCCTTAAAAAAGGATAAGGATCATTAAAAACGCTCTACATTATCATAAGTTGAATCACTTACACACTGACACGTGGTATTTTAAGTAAATATATGACTAAAATTACACCACATCAGCCAATCTAATAAGACTTAAAATATTATGTCCTTCAAATACTGTGTTGTTTTAGGGCTACAGACAGGAACAAAATTAGTAAAAAGTGTTTAATTCATAGAACCTTCAAAAGAAAATGTAGATTTTCGTGAAAATCTTAATAGGGAAAACCATAATGGTCAGGGGTTGAGACGAAGGATAATATCAACCGATGAGATTTGATTTTCAATTTTTATCATCACCTGCTATAATACTTCAAATATTCTCTTCCTTTCTTTCTTGTAATATGATCCATTAGATTTAATGTTTTTAATTATTTTGATATTCTTAGTTGTTGTAATCTTTCAATTTTTGATTTTTTTTTTTTATTTTTGATTTTTTTTCCATCAAACTTAGTAGAGTGCAACTACATGAACATGTTATATGATTCAACATATTATTCAATAGGGAGTTTTCACTAACAAAATTAGTCCTACAACACAATATTTGAAGTTTTATTAAATTGGTGATGTAATTTTAGTTATAGATTTACTTAAAATGTCATAAGTTAAGTAATTCAATTCATGATAATGGCTTTTAACTTAGAAGATTGTTGTCAAAAAAAAAAACAGAAAAAAAGAAATCCCATGCCAAAACTTGCCCTTATTCTCTAATCTATGAACTCTGTTTTCATTAGTCTAGAGTCAAATTACCTAAACTACCCTTAGCTTTTCTCTCTTTTTACTTTAGGAGAAATTCAACGAGACGATATATTTATCAGCAATTTCGCACCGGTCAGTATCCGATAAACAACAGTCACTTGGATTCCTTCTGTCTCTCCTCTCTTTCTCTCTCTAGACTTTTGTTTGCAGTGCTTCTTTTTGCTCTAATCTCTATGTCGTTTCATTGTCGCAGCTTCTCTTCTCTCTCTCTCTAAAGTCGTCACACTCTTATTTGCAGCCATTAAAGCGGCTCTGAACTTTCTCTCGCACAACTCTGAATTCACTTTCGGAAAGCAAAACCAATTTTCTATCAAGCACTCCAACCATTTTATGGATTTATCAATTCGATGATTCACTGATTTGATTTGAGAGCTTATTTGATCTTCTTTTGAGATAAACCCTACTACACTCCACGCAGAGGCGGAGCTGATCGGTCTTTTTTTTTCAATAATGAAGTCAAGTACTCGGCTCGACTCTGCCATTTTTCAGCTGACGCCTACTCGAACCAGGTATTTCTTTCAATCACTGGTTGATTACGATTCAGAGATTGAATTGATTTGATTATTTTTCATCGAATGAGTTTTAGGTTATGAAATATGAAATTTTGATTTTTTTTTTTGGTTGCCCGATGAGGAAGTTCTATCTTTTTTTTTTTTTGATAAGTATGAGGAAGTTCTATCTTTTGTGGATCGATCTGAGTCGAAGTGTGTCGACTTTTCTAAAATTTTACGTTTTCGAAGATAATGATCTCTGTCTTCTTTGCAGTTCTCTTTTGTTTTCGTTTGTTATTAGTTAGACATTTGGATTGTCGCGAATTGTATTAATTCAATATAATTAAAGTTCACGCTTAATAAGTAGAATTTCAATTCAGTTGAATCTAGATTTTATTCGGGTCACATCGGATTTCTTGGTTTCGTTGCATATTTGACAATTGTATAGTGATTTTTTTTTTTGCAAATTTTTTGAACATGAGCCAAGTACAAAGCATTATGAAAACAATGTAAATTCTGACCAAGGAGGCACAGTTCCCGGATTGTTCATCCGGAATCTACTTCTTGCATAGGTGAAGTCAAGTTGAAATTAAATTAGTTACAGGACAGTTTAGTTTCGGCAAGATTTGACTTTTTTTCCCTTGAATAACACGATTGAATTCATAAAAAATAATAATAATAACACGATTGAATTCTATAGATATTATTGGAATTTTATTTTTCTTGGGACGTGCCTTGTACTTTTATTGGAAAACAGAATTTTGCTTCAGTTTGTCATAAGTAAGAGAACCATAAAATTACATTTTGAGAATGGAAATGGAAAACATACTGTGGTAGCTATAGGAGGAGTTTTTCATTTTTAACTGAGATTTTATTGGTGTTTCCGTGGTTGGATATCCCTGTGGTATAATGGTCGATCAGAAGATGACATGTAGGATTTACGTTGAAGTATAACTTAGTTGAAAATTCAGCGATTGCTCCAAGAGACGAGGATTTCAGATATCCAAATATTTGCCTGCAAAACTTTTTCCTATATAATGTTGGTTTTAGATCTTATAATTTTTGTTTCTTTCTCCTTCTTAGTTTTCCTATATATATATATACATATTCCATTTTTTCTTGCCTGCAAATGCATGCCTGACTGCTATCTGTTTATTTATTAGGTGTGATTTGATTATCACTGCAAATGCAAAGACAGAGAAAATCGCTTCAGGTTTGGTAAGCCCTTTTCTTGCCCACCTGAAGACTGCTCAAGATCAGATTGCCAAGGGAGGTTACTCAATTTTGCTAGAACCAGAACCTGGCACTGATGCAACGTGGTTTACAAAGGGCACTGTGGAAAGGTTTGAATTGCTATATCATGCTCTTAGAAAGTCACTCTATTAAATTTCATAGTATGATTATGGATAACCATCTAGAGTCAACATTTTTGAGATATTTTTCTTTCTTTCTGAGCAAAATGAAGATTTTTATTTATGTATTTTTTGTTGCTTCAATGATAAGTAAATTCAAATTGGTGGCCAAAGATTGACTTATGTTTGAGTTCTACTTGAGGTGAGTGCATATAGGAAACACTGACTAATGTGTGGTGCTGCACAAAAGAAAATGCATAATATAATGAATTTCCAAAAAAAAAAAAAAAAATGATCAGAAGCAATGAATTAGTTTACTTGAAAGGCTTGTAGATACTACGATTTAGAATTTTACCGCAGATGTTATTATGCTATTATATCATATACTACCTCACTGTGTTGGAACTATGTAGCCAGAGCTATATTACAGGTACCCAAAATAGATTAAAAAGATAAAACATCATATCCCTCTTCATGATCATAAGGTTGCTTCTTTTTGTTGACCAGATCACGTTCTATTTTGCTACAAAATAGAGGGTCATCCTATAAATACAGGAGTATTTTTTTAATACATAATGTTTGTGAAAGTTTGTATTAGCTACTAATTTCAAGGTTAAATCTTCTAACATGGTGTATTACTTAATTTGTATATCCCAATTTCCCAACATAAATTCGTCTTGGCTAATGCTGTTAACCATGAGAGGGACCTTTTGTTCAACTCTCTAAAATTTGCAACATTTTGTACAGGTTATTTAACTATTACAGAATAGTGATAGAAGCTAGTATGTTTGAGTACACTGCACTCTGGTGATTGATATGGCAGTTGATATCAATCTTGGCAAATAGAGGAGTCAAGGTGTCTTTGATTTTCCAAAATTTGTCACAATTTCGTTGTTGAAGTCGTAGGTCAGTTAAAGAGTTTCCAGTTGCATTATTAACCTGCCCTTCAAGTTTTTAAGCTTGTATAGGAAAAATATTACTTGTTTGCACGTGTTGCTTGTGCATGTTGTGTTTTCCTGTAATAACCCATCCTGGGCAGAAAAGTATTAGGTCATGCCTTTGGACAGAGTGCATTAATGTGGTGCCACATGGTTTTGGGGTGTGACATTTTCACTGAAATTGGTGTGTTGCTCGGCTAGTATCTGTTCCTACAAAAACAAAACAAAAGGACTTATATCTGTTATGTTTTGATAGGTTTGTTCGTTTTGTGAGCACTCCTGAGATCTTGGAACGGGTGTACACCATAGAATCTGAGATTTTACAAATTGAGGAAGCAATTGCCATACAGGGAAACAATGATATAGGGCTAAACAGTGTAAGCATTATCTATTAGAACTTCTATTCATACATGTCATCAAACTATCATTCACAGTTTTGGCCCCTCTTCTGCATGGCAGGTAGAAATTCGTCAAGTGAAACCTGTGGGAAGCAGTGAAGGTATTGACTAAAGGGACATAATTCTGTACATTACAGAAAATCATAATGTTTTAGAATAAAGATGGTTTATTATTATTGTTACCTGTAAAAAAAAAAAAGATGGTTTATTATTCTTTCCGTAATTTCTGTATGTTTCATAATATATTGAAAGGAATAATTCCATCAAGAAGATTTGTACTCTGGATCATTAGATGCTGAATATATCATTTGCTAAATCTGATAGTTATTTTTGTGGTATTGAATTACACCTGCAATTTTGCACAGACTACAAACCTACGCCAGATGAGGAGAAGGCAATCGTCCTTTACAAGGTAACTGTCATCAAATACCCTCTTCATATGATGGCAATTTATTATGTACTGCTGTAATTTGATTTCTTTCTTTGGCAGCCTGGCACACATCCACCTGAGGCAAATGGGTCCATCACGCAGGAGGGAAATTCAAAGTAAATACTAATTCTACCATTATTGACAAATCATCTATCACCAAGTTACATTGATGCATTAGATTTGCTTAAGTTTGCTGAGAGGGAAGGCCAGTAGGAAGTAAAACAGGAATTTCATTAACCTTGTCAGATGGTATGCGTATGTGCAATTTGAAAATATTTCAAATGTCAAAATACTTCTATAACAGGGGTATTTCTATTTTTTTGTTAAATTGTGGTCACGGACACCCATATGTGAAGATCAGATGCATGTTATTGCTATCTCTGTTATATAACCTTTATATCTTGATGTCATGATGTCTCAAATCTGTTCTGAGTGACGTACTTCTAGCTAATTTTTATGCATCTTATATTCTGCATACTAAATTTTACTTCAACTAGAAAAAGAGGTGAAATTAACTCTCAGCAGTTATCTTCCACAAAGAAAGCGTACAAATTTATATAAATCGGTATATGTTTTCAAATGTGTTTCTTGTAAGAGCTTATTTGGAGATGCACGCATCATCCTTGTGTTTGGTTTGCTAGATTCTAGAGAATCCAGACCTATCTATTTCTAAGTCTTTGTTTCTCCACAAACTTGGGTATCTAAGCTATTTGGTTGGAAGTAAATGCAATTAAAATATCCTCTATTAGCTGTATGGACGAGTCTATTCCACCTCCATTCTGTGCACTAGCAGGATTGGTTCAACATCTTACACCTACATATTTGTTACTTAAATTGTACTAGGCCCACCAGATAACATCAGTTCACACAACATACAGCCTGCAAATTTCCTGCAAATTTGCCTGACTCTCCATTGCCATAAATTTTTAAAATGACCAAGATTTCCCTTGCTGAGAATTGAATCTATTTCCTTCCAAAAGTAAATGTAGCATACTATAAATCAAAATGGACTAGAAAATGAGTGATGTCAAGAGTCCTGATGATATATTGTTCAAGTATTAAGGTTGCAATGCTGTCATCTGTCTACATACATTGGGCTCTTAGATCTCACTGTATTTGATTTCCATTTTAATCAGAGTTCAGCTTTTGAAAGTCCTGGAGACGCGCAAAATTGTGTTGCAAAAAGAGCAAGGCATGGACTTTGCACGTGCTGTAGCTGCTGGTTTTGACATTGATCACATGGCACTGCTGGTGTCTTTTGCTGAATGCTTTGGAGCCTCACGTTTGATGTAAGCAGCAATACAGAACAGATCTCTCTCTCTCTCTCTCATGGTCCCCACTTAGATATTAAGTTGATTTGAAGAATTTTTCCCTTTTCGCCAACAATTTCTGACTGACAGCAAAATTTCTTTTAAAAGAGATCATTTCTGAGGATGTTATATTTATGTATGAGATAGGGATGCATGCTTAAGGTTCGTGGATTTGTGGAAGGGAAAACATGAAAGTGGAGAATGGGTTGAAATCGAAGCAGCAGAAGCGATGTCTAGCCGATCGGACTTCTCTACCATGAATGCATCAGGCATTATGCTTTCTAGTGTGGCCAGCAAACATAATGAATCCTCTAATGGGTTGGCTTCAGAAAACAATGTAAAAGCAGGCGTCAACACAAGTGCAGGTATGAACTCAAGTCATATGTGAGGTGTTTTAACAATGAAAGCTATCAATTCCTTTCTTGCTTGTAATCCTTACCGAGGAATCCACATAACTTCCGTCATTGTTATTCTCTCTTCCAAAATGGTTATGCAAATATCTTTTATTTTTTTATCCCCATCCACCAGTCACAAACACACAAGATTTATACATAAGTTTTAATGTGTAAGAGGCCAATTTATATTGTCTTATGGAAAAAGCTGTAGTTGTTTAGGGCTCTGAAAGAGAATAGAAACTTTATATCTTGTTTTAACGCTGACTCAAAGGGGTTAGAGAGTGCACAGTATCTCACTTTGTTTGACACCTATTAATAACACTGATCAATTGACACCAGTGGCTAAAAGAACCATAGAACCTCATCTTAGTTGCCCAGTGATCTATGGAAAAATGTCATTCCTCATTAGCCCCTTAGAAGTTCAAAACTAGTCAATCTTTTGGCTCTGAATGCCAAGACCATCTTCTAGTTTTGAGAAAAGGCTTGGTGTGCGTTTTTTTTGTTGCTGTTTTGTTTTGTTTTTTCTCTCGTGTTAAGTTTGGTGTACTAATTTTAGTCACCCACTTTCTGTGAATTGCTGATGCGAGTGTATTTTTGAAGTTAACGAAGAATCTAGGTTTTTTTGTTTTGATTTTAAGAAAGGATTGTTATGATCCATCTCAGTGGCTGAATGAATTCGGTCAAATTTTCTGGTGTAGTCACTGGCACTTCTAGTTTAGGCTATCTGCTGGTCAGATCATTATCCTCCCTAATGTGAGACAATTAGAATCCAATTATGTTCCTGAAAAGTATACAAATCAAACTGTGAGAGAAATTATCATGCTTGAAAAGCATACACATGTTTTAAAAAAATCTTTCAAACTAGGATTGATATTTCTCCTGATGCTATTCAAACCCCAGAAATTTCCTCAATGTTGTGTTCTTATTTTCTTCTTCTTTTCTCTTTCCACTGTTTGCCTTTTGAATTGATATAATTATGATGTCCACTTAGCTTGTCCAAAATAGTGAGAAAATCTGTTGTTGAGTTGAGTATCTTGTTCACTTGTTTTTTTGGCAATTAAGTTGAATATGTCCACTTGTTACCCAGATGAGAGACCTATGGATCACCAAGCCCCAGTTGGTCAACGAGAATATTATCAAGGCCAGTTTCCACATCCTGTGTTTCCTTCCTGGCCCATACATTCCCCAAATGGTTCCATGCCTGTGTTTCAACCATATCCCATGCAAGGAATGCCCTACTATCAGAACTATCCAGGAAATGGTCCATTTTACCAGCCACCTTATCCACCAGTGGAGGATTATCGATCCCCTGCTGCTGGCCCTAGACAGAAAAGGCAATCCTTGGACAGTAGAGATAGCAACACTGAATCAGAAACATGGGAGATGGATGCCTCCAAAACAAGTTTACATGATGATTTGGCATCAGAGAAGGAAGTTTCACAAAGTCGGGAACCACGGAAGAAGGCTGGGAGATCAGTGAAAAAGCAATCCGGGATGGTTGTCATTCGGAACATTAATTACATCACATCAAAACGGCAGAATTCTTCAGGTAGCGAATCTGAACCCGCTTCTGACTGTGAGTCTGACAATGAAGCTGGAGAATTGCAAACTGATACTTCAGAGATGATGCATAAGAACTCTTTGAGATCCTCAAAAAGAAAAGGAAGACATGAAAAATCAGTGGATGAATTAAATTCTTATGATAAGGAAAAAAATGTTTGTGGAAAGGAGACAGATACTGGACACTGGCAGGCATTTCAAAATTGTTTACTAAGAGACGCTGATGAAAATAATCGTGCTGCCAATCAAAGCATGTTTGTGAACGAAAAGGATGTTCAAATGAAAAGACGTCAATATACAGTGGGTGATGATCCTTTAGCTCTTGGTAGACAGGATGCAGTTGAAATACAAGAAGGGATGATAACTGAATTTCATAAGGCTAGTGGAAACGTGACTCGCACGTTGAGGTTGTCAAATGACGAAGTTTTAATATCTAGAGGAGAGGGTCATTATGATGATGGTAGAGGGTCCACAGATGATGTACAAGTCAGTGAAATAAATGGAAGAAAGGGTGTATATAACAGAGGTGCAAATGATGAATTCATGATTAATGGACGAGGAAACCAATCAAATTTTGTGAATTCAACAGATCCTCTGGCTGTAAATGGATTTGAGCGTGCCACTAATAATTTCAATAGGAGTTTGTCATCTGATATGGCTGATGAATCATTTATAGTTCCATTCCGATCAATGTCACTAGATCATGTTGGAACTGATAACAGAACCGCTATTGACATGGATTCTGAGCTTCCATCAACGGTTCAGAAGTCAGAAAACAATGCTTTTATGGTTGGAAGCCAATTTAACTATGAACCAGATGGTTTGAGCTTCATGCCTGAGCGTAGAACAGAAAAGATGTCTATTGGGTTTGACCCTGCTCTAGACTACAAAATGCAGGTTGGTGTTGAAGATGCTGCTTTAGTGGACAACAGAAATAAAGAAGTTGTGACTGCTGTTAAGCGAGGGTCTAAGAAGTCAGAAAAGGATCAGAAGTCAAAGGTTACTCCAGATTCTGTAGAAAAGAAGAAGACAGGGGGGCCAATAAGGAAAGGGAAACCATCAAAAACAAGTCCTTTGGATGACGCACGAGCACGTGCTGAGAGGCTTAGAAGCTTCAAAGCTGAACTCCAGAAAATGAAGAAAGAGAAGGTACTAAAGCATAATTATTTTCTCAGCATGCTACAGTACAACAAGGAGTTTAAGAATCATGAACACCTAAAGTAGTTGGTGATCTTGGTTAGGCCATAGCTAACCTTTTTCTGTTACTATTCATCATATGGTGTCTATTAATTTACAGTTTCATGTTCCTTTGACAAGTAGAATGCTTGGTCTTTCCAATATACTTAAATCTTATAGTTCTTTTACAGGAAGAAGAAGAGATGAAACGAATAGAAGCATTGAAGAAAGAGAGGCAAAAGAGAATTGCAGCCAGAGGGAGTTCCACCTCTACTCAGTCACCATTGCCCTCTATGCAAACGAGAAAACAAGTGCCGACAAAACTTTCCCCAAGTTCTCACAAAGGATCAAAATTCAGTGATTCAGAACCAGGACTCTCATCACCTCTACAGAGGTCCAATATACGAACTGCTTCACTTGGATCAGGTGATACTCAGAAGGCCTCTAAAGCCAGAAAATCAAGTGATGGTAGCCACTTGCCAGGGAATAGGTTGAGTAAATCGGTGTCATCATTGTCTGAGCCAAAGAAAGAAAGCAGTGGGGTTACTCCTGATTCAAAGGCTTCTGTTGCGCGGATTCGAAGATTGTCAGAACCTAAGACCATCAGCAGTCATCAGAGTACTTCAGTGAAGACCCGAAGTGCTGAACCAGTATCAAAGCCAAAGGTATCCAACGGGCCTGAGAGCAAGAAAATATCTGCTATTATTAATCTCGATAGAAGCAAGGCAGCAACCCTTCCTGAACTGAAAATCAGAACATCTAAAGGACCTTCAGATGTAGGCCCGAACAAATCAGTGAAAAAAGAGATGACACAGAGGGTTAATGATAGCAACTCTTCTGTAACTTCTGAAACTGCTGAACTGAACAGGGACAATGGCAAGATAGATCATCAGAGTGACGTGGATGACAACCCTGTAGTTGAGAAGACTGTTGTGGTGCTCGAATGTGAGAAGCCCTCTATTTCCATTGTACATGCATCAGTAGAGAAGATGGGGATACAAAAGGGACATTATGATAATCGTGACGTAGGAGCGAAAGTTGAGGTTGTATCAGAGTATGCTTGTATTCGTGCGCCAACTTCATCCATGGATGAAACTAATGGAGAATCCATTCAAAGCCGATTACAGGAGCAGCCCCCTTCGTATGAAGTAGGATCGGTAAAATCAAAAGTGGCTCATAACTATTTTTATGTGGTTAACATTGACTTAAAATAATTTGATTTTGCACCCCTATAACATTCTCTGTCAAGATAAACTAAATTAATTAGAACAGTCGACGGTTCTTGGAATTTAATTATTCAAAACTGAAATCTGGAAAGGCTTAACATGAAAAAGACTATCTAAATTGGAAGCACCACATGCTATTTTTATTCTTTTTTAATTGTAATCTATTGCTCGTATAAACCTGATTACAAGTTGGATTCAATAAACAATATTTAGATTGTGCAAGTCAGTTGGCTACTTGGCTCAGCTCTGAAAACGGACTGACAAGAATGTCTTCACAACCCTGTGAAAGTGCCCCTTAAGCTGAGCAAGCTTCTGATCCCTCTGGTCACCCCGATAACATATTTCAAATTTTCTATTTTCTTTTGGATTTGATTCATTTTCAGGAACTATTTATGCTCCTACTTTCAGAGCTCAGTAGCATTTTTATAATCCTAGTTTTACTGTGGGTCAAGTGTTCTAAATACTAACTGTATGTATGGAAATTGCGGTCTAGAACCATGCCATAATATGTTGAAACAGTTTTCACTCTCCACTTTAACAAATAAACAGTACTCGAGAGCCTGAGCTTTATTGTAAAATATATTTGAATTGGATTTTTGTTCTGAACTGGCATAAAGCATTAGGTTAATTTCCCTTGTGGTGGATACATAATTTTAAATATTCTGGTAGGAAAACTATTATTTCCATAGGGTGGCAACTGATAGAATTTTGTGTTTGATCTGATTGTTGTGATATTAATTCTGTGGTGATCAGGTGATGACTGGTAATGCAGAGAAGGAATCGCCCAAGTTTTCGAGCATTAACACTGCTGAAAAACCTTATCATGCCCCTTATGCTCGAGTCTCTTCTTTAGAAGAACCGTGTAATGTAAATTCAGAGTATGGAAAAGCACCCCCAACAAGCTTGGACATGGTGACGACAGGAGTGGAAACTGCTAAAGCACAGGTATCTGATTTTAAAAACCTGAAATTAGAAAAGATTCCAGAAGCATCGGAGAAACCTCTGGTAAAGGAATCATCGAAAGGGTTCAGACGACTTTTGAAGTTCGGAAAGAAGAACCATAGCTCGGCTGCAGGTGACCGCAGTGTTGAATTGGATAATGCAAGTCTCAATGGTTCTGAGGCGGATGATAATGCAACAAAAGCTGCTGCTTCTAGTGAAGGTAATGTGCATTTCACTGCCTTTGATGCCCTCATAAACTGTGGAACATAATGGATCTACTATAAACAGTAACTGGTAATCTTTAATAATTAAACACAAAATTTCACAATCTGGTCTTTGCAAAATCCAGTGGTTCCATACAGAAGAAGTTTATGCCATTTGAAAATGGTATTATATGCTGTCCTTTCATGTATTCAGTGTTCAAATCCTGTTTTAAAAAAAATCAATTTGCAGATATGTCTTCTGAAATGTAAGCTCAACGCACATCAATAAAAAAATTCATCAATTCCATCAAATCTGCTAGGTGCTGATTATCTTTTGGGTTTAATTTAATCTTGTTTTTTTAATGTAAATTTAAAGTTGAAATTAAAGAAAAAGTTACAACATAATCTGATGTGGGTAGTAAGAGGGAGGTAGTATATTGAACAAGAAGCCACGACCAAGAATGGGAGAAGTATAAATGTATCTATGCTCATCCAACATTCTATTAATCAAAGAAAGTATAATCAAAAGCTTCATTCTCGTCTTCTCTTGCAACAGATATAGTGTCCAACTGCAATGTTAAATACCTCTACCACTACCAACTTTACTACCAAGCACTTGGGAAACAACAGTTCAAACTAAAATAAAACACTAGTTGTTAGACACTGGTTACTTATCAACAAAAAAAAAAAAAAAAGGTTGTTAGACACTGGTTACTGGGCATGATAAGATAGTTGCTAGACAAACACCAACTCTTAGTTCTTCCCAAAACAAACTCTTTATCTTACAATGAGGCCGCCTAGGCATCACCCACTATGCCCACTAGTACGGCACCCACAAAGGTGTCCATATGGCAAGGAAGTTGGATCCCCTTAGGGACTACATTATAAACCTTCGGAGTTTGGTTCAGTTGGTAACCTTTGAATAGTTACAGCAAGTGGTAATCTTAATTAGTTGAACATAACAAGTCAGCAATCCTATCTTGAAGAAACTTAGCCAGTTCAAATGGTAGTATATGCTGTCCTTTGACATATATTGTTGATAACCAATTTTAACAAATTAAATAGCAGATGTGTCTAACACAATCTGGATCAATAAAAAACATTGATTGTATTATGCTTTGCTGACATGGTAGTTGACCATTTTATGTTTGTAGATACACGTGCCTTACCTTTCAAAAAGAAAAAAAGAGTGCCTTAAAGTATTTGTTCTGTGGGGATTTGCCAAAGCATTCCATATTTATAGCAAAGATTCTTATATGAAGAAACGATCATTGTTGTAATTTATGATTTTTAATAAATGGCATGGTAGCTTTGGGCTCTTGAGGGCCATTTCATTTGTTCCATTTAATACTTGTTTAGGACTTGGTTTGTTTAGATTTCAATAAATGCTCTAATTTCTATTATAGTGCTGCTATCTCCTTAAAACACTACCATCTTGCATGCTCTAGTGCTATGTAATTTAATAAACTGATTCAGTTTCAGTGGGATGTCTTGAACACCACAGCGGCCTAGTATTTAGTTCTCGAACTCTTGCCAGTCCAATTTTTTACCAATAGATTAAAAGCTTGTTCAGGAAACATGGTCTATTTATTCATTCTGGCACCATGTGTGAAATTTTTTAGAGTTGGGTATGAAGATTGCAAGTGCTGATCTGATTCTGCATATAACTTTTGTGAAACTGAACTCTAAGTTGATTAATATTTTTCGATGGTAGCTAAAGTGATATCAGTGATAACTGGTTCAGTATTCACAAGCTGACTATATTTTCGTGGTTCTTATCATCAGTTTTCACATTGAAGAATCTTATCTCTCAAGATGAAACCCCCAGTGCTGGCACTACTTCACAAAAGTGTAAGTACTCGCTACAATATCTCCACATTCTTAGTCTCACTTGTTTAAACGAATAAAGATTTGGGATCAATTATTTCCCTCATTTGGCTACAGCTTCACGGCACTTCTCTCTGTTGTCGCCCTTCCGTAGCAAGACCAGTGAAAAGAAGCTCGCAACATGACTGGATTTCCTGAGGTGAGGTCGCAGCACTTTTTCCATCTTTTGGCCCTTGTGAGCTGTAACAGTTATCGTGATTTATCAATTTGCTTGCCTATCAATGCGTCAGAGTAGTGTTCATTGCGAATTGTGGTGTTGCTGAAACTGTAAATTGTACATTTAAATTCATTTTAATACAATACCCATTAGGTTAATTGGTTTGCAGCTTTCGAACTGTTTATTTAAAAGATTAGTTTTAGATTTGAATGAATCTCAGTTTGCACATTGTTTAGCGGAATTGGAAGGCAATTTTGGATATTTACTTTTCATTTTTGCCCTTTTTCTTTTGGTGTATTTTTTAATCTCAAGTGAATGGAAGATTTGCTCGCTATACTAAGGATCAAAGCAAAACTGGCAATCTACCCAGGAAATGATTCCACCATTCCCATATTGTTCATTTGCTGGCAAAGGCGTGTGGCCTAGCGGTATAACCTCCCTATCCTCAAAGAGGAGGGGAGGGGTTCTAGCCCAGACGTCGGCAAAAGTTTGTGTGTGTTTGCTGTTTTGCTGATGAAGTGAGAGAGGAAAAGTTAAGGGGGAAAAAAAGAAATTGAATCATTATACTTTATGTAAAGGGGGTATAGGGAAGCACAACCTCCTTGCCTTCTCCCAAAAATTTAATGTCACGGAGTAAAAGGAAAGGGAGTTTGGTGACTAAAATAAAAAGATTCTCTTTATACAGTTGGTAGAAGTACCTTTTTTTTGTGTGTGTGTGTGTGTGTGTGTGGTTTTCCCCTAAAATCTCTAACAAGTGAAAGGGGTGGGGGAAGCATTCATTGGCAAACATTCTTTTTTGCTACTTTTTCTTTGCTAGGATCTGTTCCGATGGAAATGGAAATTAAAAGTAAAAGTGAAAAACAATCTGTTTTAGAGGAACAAAAGAGGGGCATAATTGTAAGTTCACAACAAAATTCATGAAAAATAAAGATGGTTACAGAGTTACTCTTCTTCAAAATTTTCATATTCCTACTATCCGAACTCCTGTTATTTCTATCCCATACCCTTGTAAACAATATCCACAATGTGACCTATTCTTGGCAAAGGGAAAAAAAGGGGGGAAAAAGAAAAGAAAAGAAAACAAAGTCATTTGAATCATCCAAAACATTATATCATTACAATAATGTGTATCAAATTCTGAACAAACATGCCACTCTCAGTCAAACCGGATGACCAAGCAAGAAATGTTGCTTCTGCTCATTCTAGTCAAGGCCTCCTTTGCTAAGCACTCAGCAGCCTCTTGTGGGTCCTCTATGTGCCTAATCAGATTCACAGCCTCTTGATGCTTCATCACCTTTAAGAAAAACAAAAACAAACAAATCAACTCTTCAATTTTCTAGGAATGTTTAGTTAAACATTAGGAATTGTGATGATAAAATGTTATACCTCCCATATGCCACTACTTGCTAAGATCACAAATTCAGTATCAGTGTCTATTTTTTCAGTACCAACGAGAAGTTCCAAGCTTTTAGAGGGCTTTGCGTTCATGGCATTGCCGGGGTCGCATGCTAAAATGCGCACTTTGGGCATACGTATAGCACCTGAGATGACACAAGTGAGAATCAGAAAATGGGCACACAAACATTGTTAGCACGAGGATGAGACACACACAAAACTTGAATGTCATTTGTCGCGGAAACAAATCCGTGCCTGGAATGAATCTTCGAGACCAATGTCGTTTGGCAGCTTGCTGTTTCCTTCTGCTAATCTGATAAGCATCGCCATCTCTACACACGATAGCTTTGTAGTCACCCATGTTAGCGATCACAAGCTTGTCCCCATTGATCACAATTGCAGATGCTGAGCCTGCTTTCCATGTCTCTTCTGGTTTCTGTGTCTCTCTGAGTTTTGCTCTGGCGCCAAGATATGCCTTTCTCATGGTTTCTTTGCTTTTCCTCTTTATCTGAGACTGCAAGGCATGGTGAACATTTTAAGCTAGAGAGAGTATTCCAACTCTAAATTTAAGAAAAAAGGTGATGCTGATACAAAAATAATTGGAAAATTTTCTATTGGTTCTCATTAAAAGGTAGGGAAAGGATTGAGGAAGGAAAAGAGGGTAAATGAGAGAATGAAAATGCATTCCTTAAATTTTACTTTATTTTATTTTTTCTTCCTTGGTTAGATAAATACTCATATACTCACAATAAATGCATAGAGCATCGTTCCTTCCATATGCATTTACTCATTGTTTTCTCCAAGTAAATAAATACTCTTTTTATTCTTCATATACTCATATATGTCTAGGGTGGAAATGACTTTATCATGATGTCACTGATGGCGTTAATATCTACTCACATAAATGTAATAGGATATATTTGACATTCAAACGTTCTATCATGACGCTTTTTGAAACCTTTCTTGGAAAACAAAAATTCTACTCACATAAATGTAATTGGATATATTTGACATTCAAACGTTCTATCATGACGCTTTTTGAAACCTTTCTTGGAAAACAAAAATTTTGAAAGTCAGATGCAAACCCACCGCATTTATGTGAAGGGGGTGTGGCCCTCACCATGAATGCATTGGATGCATGGGGTGCCTGGTCATTTTCCCTCACTCAAAATAGAAATTTAATGAATTCATAATCACATTTAAAACAAAAACTAGAAAATTACAAATCTAACCATCGGTTGAGACATAACAATGAAACAAGCAAACAGATGTATTTGTTATGACTTTAAACCTCTCTTCACATCACAACCAAACAAGAAAATACTCTAAAGGATCTGTCTGGTTCAGTTTTGGCAAAACATTACCATATATCTGAAAAATGGAGATCAATTTGAAAATTGAATTGGTTCATAATGTTTTGATTATCAGATTTTATATATATATATAAAAAGTTTACTGATTAAGACTATGAATAGTTTAGTTTAGTTTACCTCTTTAGGTTTTTTGTCAAACAAATGTGATTGCATATACTTGGTAACTCCATCTCCAAGCCGAGCATCAAAAACTCCGAAAAACCACAGTTCCATGTCTTCAAATTGCTCTCTCTGCACCACAACCGAGTCCGAGTCTGACTCATGGGACCCACCTCTGAATGAAGACTGATCATCCACCACATGATACCCATGTGAAATGGGCATCATCCATGATGCTCTCTTTCCATTCTCATACCCTTTTTCCCTATTCCCATCACCTCCAATAAAAAATCGCCTCAGCCGCAAAGCCTGCCCAATTATGCATCATCATCTCAGTTATACATACATACATACATACATATATACATTAGTTATATTAGTTATATCAATCTACACACACACACACACATATATATAGTTTTGCTTAGGAAAATAAAATCAGTAATTTTTTTTATAAAAAATTGTATTTTTTGCTCTTAATCTTTGATTTATCATCTAAAACTGCATTTGTTATGTCTATCATAACTTAGAAAACCCAATAATCAAAATCTTCTGATTGTCCAAAAAAAACCATAACATATAGATACACATATATGTGTGTGTGTGTGTGTGTGTTTATGTAGGGAGAGATGGTTACCTTAAGCTTAAGATGAAAATCTTTGAAACCCATGTTTATGCTGGAAGTGAAATGGATGAGCAGAATGAATTTCCGGTATTTGAATAGGATGATCAGATAAAACGGTAAGATTTTGGAATCAAAATGAAGAGAGAGGAAAATATATTTTTGAAGGTATTGGAAGTCAAGAAGAAGTCTATCGGTGTTAAGACTCTCTCCACTCTGTTTTATTTAGAGAGAACAAAAATGGTTTTGGGGTATTAAATGTAAGCATTTTATGAGCTTTGAATTTCTGATGCGTAATATTAACACGTAACGCTCAATTTCAGCTTTTTTTTGTTAGGCTGTTGGTACTCATCCATCTATTAGTTTGTTATGTGGCCCTATTTTCAAATGAAATTGAAAACAAGATGAGAAAAACCAAGCCAGTTAAAAAAATAATTAAAAAAAAATTATTATTGCTTCGAAATTATGTTGATAAAATTTATTAGAGAGTGTAATTTTAATATTTTAATTTGTTAATGTAAGAACTATTTTGTGTGGAGGCATAGCCACGTATGCGTTTCTAGCTTCTTAAATGTGCTAGTTTGGTCATTAGAATGTGTGGGTCATGGGGGAGTTGACTTAACTAATCCCTTCAACAAGGTGTACTTAGCCATCATAAAAGTAGTCATCGTCTTTGAACAACTTGTCACTCACTGCAAAGCCTGAAATGGCCAAAGACTCTCTCTAGAAGAGAAGAATAGTAAGACATGGTCAGATTTCAAAGTAATTTGGTCCAAGGGGAGATAGTAAGGGAACCAACTTTGGAATTTGGACCAATCTTTCCCAAAATAATAGGTGAAGAGAAACACTTGGACTAAAATTTTTGTTCATTTCCTTTTTCTTTTTTTTTTTTTTTTAATTTTTTTTTTAGTTCTTCTATTTAAAAAATCAATGTAAAAAATATTTTCAACTTAAAAGTATGAAATTTTAAACTTTCAATGGGCCTGTTTGGCTAGGCGTCCTGTAGTCTCAAAACGGGCTTCTAAGCCTAAAAAATTCTTTGTCAATAATAATAAGTGTTTGGTAAAATTTCTGAAAATGGACTTTTAAAAAGTCTCAGTGATTTAAAAGCCCAATTAATCAAAGCCAATAAAACACGTTTCTCAATCGACTTCCCCCAAAGCTACACACTTTTTTAAATAATAAATATAAAATTTCTATATTGTCCATTATTTAACCTATTTCCATTTCTGAATTTCATTGCAAACTTTTATCGTTTTATTTTTGTATCATCTTCTTTCTTCATTCTCTACCCAAAAAATAAAAATAATAATACTGAGCAAAATTTCACAGAACTTAATCGAAAAAAAATATTGTTGAGAAACAATTCAACAAAAAGAAAAAATACTATTGAATCCTATTTGACTTTAAAGCCTGAAGAGTTTTAAGATTTATGAACTCTCATATGAAATTCAATTCTATGTACAATTCTAAATAATTTTCTCTCTCTAACAAATATATATATATATGTACACACACACACATATATATGTGTGTATATATAATTTCTTTTTTCTTTCATGAAGGCTACCCATAAAAATGGAATATTTTTGTCGCCATCTTTCTCTTTAGTTTTATTTTTCTTTCCTTTTCTTTTTCCATCTCTTTTAACTTCTATCATGTAGTCAAGGAAAAAAAAAATTCTACCATATAGATTGGGTTAAATTTGTATACCCAGATCCTCCATTACTTTAATTATGATTTCTTTTTTTGTCTTCCCTTCTTCGTACATTACTAATTCAACTTTTTTTGTCAAGTTAGATTATGTTAATAGTTAAAAGAGTTTCAAAAAATTTACCCACCAAATAACTTTTTTGTTTTAAATTCCTTAAGGAATTTTAGAGCTATCATTTTAGAGATTGATAGCTGCCCAAAACTGGACAATGCATTAATGTTGTGTTTGAAGGTTGGACGTCTTTATTTTCTCACGCTTTTTAAGTATTGGGTACTTGGGGTACGAGAAGGTTGGTACCTCAGCCAATGAAAAATTTATTATTTTCTATTATAAAAAAAAAAAAAAAAAAAAATGAAGAGTTTTTATTGGTGGGTACTACATGAGGTATTGAATTTTTTTTTTTGTAAATTTTCTGTGTCATGTAAAATTTTATCAAAAAAATAAGCCTATTGCAACTAAAGATCCATACACATTGCATTGAGTCATAAAAGGATAAAGGATGTCTGTACGTGGACCATCAACCATGTAGTCCCGACTACGTAAAAATTTCTCTAAATGTGGAAGTTTTTTTGGTCCCAGAAGAACAAATCTTATTACAAAAAGTACGAGCAACACCATATATGTATCCCATGCAATTGGCAAGTATGAGTTTAGAGGAAGCAAAAGATAATATATATATATATATAGTACCTCTACACACAAAAATAAATGTTGGCACAAACAGAATTTCTTTACACAATCAATCTCCATTATAATGACCAGGAAATGACAAATTCTAAATTTAAAAATAGTTCTTTGTTTTGAAATTACAAAGAACACTAATGATTCTTTGTATTGGAGTGATCCAAGCCCAATGAACCAAATCCATTTTGTATGATATATTCTGTATATAAATTGACAGTCTAGAAAGAGAGCCTCACTTGGATCTAGCCCTGCTTCAAGATGTTGAATAAGTTATAGACCTACCTGACCATTAACTTTACAAATAACCAATCCATATTCCACAAGCTTTTTGTTAAGCTAAATTGCAACAATCCAGTTTGTCAGAACATGAAGAGAATATATTAATACAAGAGGGATACAGTTCATGTGCCAAGAGAAATCACACACACAAAAAACAAGGCTTCACTGCTCAACCTTCGTTATTACAACACCGTATAGCAAGGGAAGACAAAATGGAGCAGTCATATTCAAAATTTGGGTGGGAAGAACTAATACTAAAATAACTAAGAAATCAAAGGTCTTTGGAATCCAAAAAAAACATGGCAAAAAACCAGAATAATTATTTATACAAAATTCAATAACCAGCTGAAACTTTTTAGTTTTGGATAGTGCAAACTTGTATATAAATTACCTAGGTTGTGCTCAAAGAATGCTTCAATAGGTGTTTTTTCTGCTTGTTCCTACCACAAAACAGTAACAACAATCACAGCATTCAATTATTTATCAAATAGAGAGCAAGCCACAAGACAAAACACACACAGGAACTTGAAGAGAACATGGCAGCTCATCTTTGATGCATGTTGCCCAGACCAAGTATCACGGCTGCCCCATCAAATGAACGGATAAATATAAATAATCAAAATTCAAGAAACAAACCTTATCTGATAAAAACTGTTTCTATTTTTAGCACTCATAAACCTGTTTTCATATAACAAAACCAAACAGGATCTAGTAAATTGTCAAATTACTCACAATACTTGGTCATGCAGCAGACAAGTAAAGCTTCAAAAAATGCACTGATAACAAGTATCCAGCAAGATTCACTGATTACCATGTCTTTCTTAAAATACAAAAATTCTCCTTAAAACTGCTCTGAAACTTTGAATCAGCAAAAGCAAACGAAAAACAATCCAAAAGTACGACTTGCAGAAAATTCATAACAAAATTGGGATTGCCATATAAATATTAGTGCTCAGGATGCAGTCTGCTTTTTCAGCTTTGCAAGCTCTTGTCTGATTGTCCCAGCCCTCTGCACATGCAAATTCGTGACAGCTATTAGCTTGAAAGGTTCAAAATGTCTGAGCATTTAAAAGCTAAAAGAAAGTAAGCAGTAAGAATGTTTGAAGAAATTTTGGGACTAATTAATCAAACCTTGATCTTTGCCAACATGAGTTTGAACCTATCGAAATCATTAAGAGAGGCCCTTCTTTTCTGAACAATCAGCTTTCTACCCCAGGAGCTCTTCTCCCATTTGTTCTTAACATCTGCAATCACAAAAATACAGCTAAATCCAACATATAGTAATAAATACAGGAAGGAGCTTCACACCGTTTTCTCATTAATATTCCTACCAGCAGACTCCATAGCTGCAACCAGTGTCTTCTTCTTCGGAATCCTCTTGATATCGATTTTGATATCTGTTAGCGAAAGCCTCTTGAAATTCATTTGACACCTTACCATATCAGGTGCATCCACCAGAGCCTGTAAAGACATAAAATTTAGACAGACAAGTAAGATAGCTAAACAACCCTTTGCATAAAAAGTGAAGAAAGTTAAGAAACAAGGGTTACATGCTGAATATACATTCAAGAGATCTAAGGAGATCCCAAATTACAAATATATCAATGTCAACAAATTGATTTCAACATTGTAAATATATGAATAGTTTTTTCCCTTTTAAAAAGTTGTACGGCATATCACTCAAACCAAAGTTTTGACAGTGAAATAAAAGAAAAGAATGGATATACATGAATGTTGTGTCTGAGTCTAATAGCATTCAATCAACACCTTGGAATTGGAATAGGAATTGGAGAAATTACGCTATGTTTGGGAGCACCAAATCGTCACCTTGGTATTGGAATTGGCTCCCAACCGCAACATTAGTCTAAACTTTAATCTAAATTTTCTTCAATTCCAATTACAACACTCGTTTGGTGCTCCCAAACATAGCAAAATCATATTTGATCATTAACGCAATTCATGTCCACAATCATAAACACGAGCTATGTTATCATACTTAATTCAAAACATATAAATACAACATATAAATATGGATGCTATAGAACAACCAAATGCAGCAAAAAATCTATTTTTTTCCTGATCACTCAGCAGCAACAACAACAACATAATGACCAATTCGAAGCATTTCTCAATCCCAGCAACTACACAAAATATAGAAAATTTGTTATCATATCTAATTAAGCTCCGATGACCCACAAATGCTATATGAAAGTAACTCCAATTACCATAATAAACCAAAGTAACATATTGGTTTTTTTATCCAGTGAGAAAATAATGGATTTTTCCTTTTAATCGTGCTTACCTGAGCAGCTGAGCTTAATTTAAGAGCACTATTTAGCTGACTAAAGTCTTATCCTCTTTCTTTTTCACTTGTATTAGAATTAAAACAAAATTAAACACGAGACCGGTTTTTTTTTTTTCAAGATTTCCAATCAACCAAACAAGGAAGTAAAGGAAACATTACTCGATTCTGGTCAATAACATCGACGATGACAACAAGCTTCCCGTAGTCCTTGCCGTAGTTGACAAGGGCAACCCTCCCGATCTCAACGTAACGCTTGAAAGGCTACAAAAAAACAAAAAAAAAAATCATTCAACAGATCAATCAACGGCTCATTTCGAAACAAAGAAACTGAAAAAATTGCCCAAAAAACAGTAGTAAGTTGCAGTCTCACCATTTTGTCTGGTTAGTTGTGAGGCTCTGTGGAATGAATGACCAGAGAGGCGGAGATAAAGAATGCGAGCTAGGGTTTAGGGCTCAAATCAATCGGGATTTTGTGCGGGGTGTGACGCTGGTTTGGAGCGGGTCAGACTTTGTATTAGTGGGGGTGTTGGGCTTGGCACTTCGACCCGGGAGGTTGTGATTTTGGCTTAAATATATAAGGATTAAGTACATAAAAATCCCCCTCTACTATTAATATAATGCATATCAGTTCCTGTGTGGTAAAAAAAACCCTTATATTATCAATTTGGTGGGAATAGGTCCCTGGGTGGTGTAAAATGACGATAATACACTCACTTCAATTAAATGAATTAATGATTATAAATACAGGCCATGTAAAATGACCCTTTTGTCCAAATTTGTATAAAATGGGATTTGTTTGATAAAAAGGATAAAATAAACCTCAAATTGTATAAAATAGGAATAACCTAAATCTAAATATAATTAAATCTAAAACCAAACATACTCTTTCATATTTTAAAATATAAATAAATTTGTCATTTATATATATATATATATGCACACCATATATCATTAGAGCAAATCTATATGCCCATGGATGATGGGTTTTAGGGCAAATCATTTCAACCTCCGCCTCCATCGCTACTCTCGTTCTCAACTCTGAACTTGCGCCCTCTCTCTCTATCTACAACTGCAAACTACAAGAATTAGAAGTTCAAAACCCATATATTTTAGTTTATCTATTTGCTGCAAGAATCAAAAGTTCAAAACCCATGTCGGCATATCATTTTAGATTGTTCAAAAAATCAAAACCCATATCTTTCAATTTCCATCGCTCGTTGTTCCAGTTCGAATTCGCCGTTTGCAAGCTTTAGCCGCCGTTCCAATTCGGGTTCGCCTTTTTTTTTTTGGTCTAAATTAATCAGACTTAAAAAAATCAAGACCAGGTCTTCTCTGCCGTAAAAAATACGCACCCAAGTATCTTCGTGAATGATCAATACTTTTCCCTTTTTTCTTTCTTCTTCTTCATCTTCTTCTTCTTTTTTTTTTTTTTTTCTTTTTTTTTTTTTTTTTTTGGTACTTTTTGTGTAGGTTTTATTTGTTATAAAAAAATAAAAAAAAAATCCAAAATTTAATCACAGATAAATTGCCTCACAAACTTCAACACAAATTAACAAAGCCTTTCTCTCATGCTTCAAGAATATCAATTGAGATAAAAGAAGCCTGAAGATTAAAAAATGAACTCCAAGAAACTATCCCAATAAATAATTTCAGACAAAACAAAGATAACCCTAATCTCTCTCTCTCTTTCTATATATATATATATTCATTTCTTATATTTGAAATGTATTTCCTTACATGGTCTAACCCATAGAATTGAGAGAGAGAGAGAGAGAGAGAGAGAGAGAGAGAGAGGCGAATTGGGTTTAGGGGTGGGGGGTTTTATTTGCACACAATTGGTGAGGGCCTTATATGCATAAATGGATGCGGGGCAAAATGGGAAACAAAAGAGTAAAATGGGGTTTTTAGTTTTACTTTTTGTAAAAAGGTGGTCAGAGGGACTAGTTCTGCACATTTTTTGAATTTTGTGGACTTGCATGCACATTTTAAAAAAGTAGAGATTAGTTTTGCACAAAGTCTATATATCAGCGGTTATTTTTGCACTTAATCCAATATATATAATAACTAAATATGGAGAGAATTCACGAATTTAATTTCTAGAGTTCCCGAATTTAATTATAGAATTAGTTTGAGTTTAGTCGAATTCGCAAATTGCCTTTATGCAGGTTCTGTTTGGCACAAACGTGTAAGGCCTCCACTAATTTCTTAACTTTTTTATTTTTTTAAAAATATAAAAAGTCTAATAAAGTCATATTAAATCCCATACAACAAATCTAATTAAACCTCATTAAAACTCTTATCATTTATACCTCATTAACAATAGGAGAAAAATCATATAACCCTCTCTACTATTATTTTCGTTTAAAAAATTTTCATTAAAATTAAACACTCCTGCATTATAGAAATGCAATCAAGTTACCACATACCAGTGACCGACCCGTTTATTAAGTTATGAAATGACAAAATTAACCTTATAATTTAATATTAAATTTAAAATTGATAATTATAATTTTAAAATTACAAAAATACCCATATTAAGTGGGTCTTCTTCCTCTCACACTCTGAGTCAACCCAATTCCTCCTCGATTTGCTTGAAGAGAGAATGGCTATGGCAAACTCAAAACCGCCTATTTGCTTAAAGAGAGGCGATGCATATGGGTTTATTTTGAATTGGTTCCACTTCATTACTTTGTTTTGTTTTCATCATTACTTCATTACTTTATCCTGTTTTTATCATTCCTTATTCAACTCAATTACCAACGGCCAATTCAAAAAACCCAATTGTTATTATATGTGAGGAATATATTAATTAATGAGATTAATATTTTTTAAATGAATAATTTTTATTTTTATTTTTATTTTTGCTAAAAACTTACCAAAAATGTTTCTTGTTTACTGTTTACAAAATTCAAGAAATAAGTATAGGACCACTTAGAAATAGAAAATAAGAAACACAAAAACGTAAACATTACCAAACGACCCCAGATTACAAGAAATTATTAATAAATAAAATAAAATAAAATAACTGAATACAGCCGCAAGCCATTCATATCATGACTAAAGACGAAGACAAATTGCTTACTCCGGCGACAAGGTTAAACGAAAGCTCATAGTATCATTCAATGAAGTGTTTGTATGTATGATATCAATTGATTGATCAGCCTTTGAATGGAACTGTACAAGACCAATTTCAACACTACAGAATGGATCTATGGAGGCCCCTACATATAGATACGTTTCAAAACCCCTGTAATAGCACATGTCGAAAGCCCACTTTCACACAACAAAATGTAGCTTCCCAGCAGAGGATGTAGCCTCACAGAGCATGATGTAGCATCCCGCCACTAACATTTAATTCGTGCTCAAGTCTTGATCCACCAAAATGAAAGAATTCAAGTTACCCTCGGAATCCAATTTAGTGGACGCTCTTGAGTTTGCAGTCAGAAATGTGGTAAGAGCTATAAAGCATATACAGGAACAGCAAGTTCATTTCTTTCCCGGCAAAGGATGTTTGAGTTGATTAAATCTCCATTACAACAGCTACAAAGTTTCTCTATATTCTACGGCTCTACCCCAATTAACAAGGCCTAATGTCGAAACACAGTCATAAGGAGCAGATTTTGTGCTTTGACTATCGAAGTTTAAATTGTTGCCAATTTCGTTCGGTGAAGTCCAAACAACATTATTTACTCCATGCATCTGTTCTTACCCTAACTCGTTCACCCTTAAAGTGAATGTATTTCCATTTGCTCTGGTACTTCTTAAGAAACAACTTCTGCTTATCTTCTTGACCTATATTTTGGAAGGCATGGGCAACTCTCCTGACAGTATCTTCATCTGGTTTCACACTCAACTCTTCCATGTCCGCAAAAACCTGACATTTTATAGGGAATAGATTTAGCATCATAATATGCAGTTGTTCAAAAATTAATGAAAAAAACATCATATAAACTGCAAACAAATATTGCAAAAGGCGATGGAGGTGCAAGCAACAATAGTCTTTGCAGTAGTACCTCTATTATCTTATCAGGCATATTATGATGATCATACAAGGAGATCATCCTAGAAAACAATCGCTTCGAGATAGAGCGTGTATGGGTATGCAAAATCATGTTCCATAGTGATTCTGCCTCATCTACCCTTCGATCCTCATCAAAAGCCAGTAGCAGGGTGTCATAGGTTCCCATTGTCGCTCCTTGACCTTTGCTCAACATCCACTTGGCCACCTGAGTATCACTGAAGATGAGTAACCAGCAAACAAGCAGATTATATGCATCCAATTTAGCTACATTTAAAAATCAAAATTTAAACTGGATGTCATCACCTAACTAGTCGGGATTCCTTCAACCAAAACCTTAGAAACTTATATGCGATGACATAGTTCGACAGTAGTATTGTCACTCAGAGTGAATTAAGAGATCCTCACAACAGAGTAGAATTAACAGCACATCTTAGGATCTTCCAGTTTACCTTTCTATGAAGCTTGGGCTTCCAAAGTTAAGGTTATAACATTGATTTCATGTTTACTTTTCAGTACAGCCTCACAAATTTGCATATGACATTCATATATTGTTGGAACTTGAGGGTGTTTGTATGTCCACATTTTAGGCCAACGCAACGCAAAACATAATCATGTTTCAACCAAAGTTATAATCTAGGTACGTATTGATTTAAAATTACTTCCAACAATATATCATATTCGGTTTTAAAAAATGCCTTAAACTTGCTTTCCATAACCAAACAATGCTTCACATGTTTAGACCAGTGTTGCTAAAGGCGCGCCTAGGCTCAAGGAGCAAGTCTAGCGCCTGTTGTCATCCTAGGCTCACTGATGTTTACTAGGCGCGCGCCTCGGTTGCGCCTCGTCCTAATTGTCTAGGTGTGCCTCGCTGTTTTTTGTTTTTTTTTAAATGATTGTTCTATCTCTTAAGCCAAAAAGGGTACTTTTGGCAACTTAATAAACAAATAAGAAAGCCTAAGCATATCAGAGAAGGATCTTGTGTTCAAAAGAATAAACAAATAAGAAAGTCTAAGACCGAACATAGAAAGAGTGAGACTATGAGAGCAACGACGAAGCCCTAGTGGCAGACACAAATGACGAAGCCATGTCAGTTCTTTGTTCTTCTTCTCTCTCTTCTCCTTTACTTCTCTCTCCTCTCTTCTCTACTCATCTCTTCTCATCTTTGTTTACTTCTTTCTCTCCGTCTAGTTCTCTTCTCTCTGTCTTTTTTTTTTTTTGGGCTCTATTTGTTTCTCCTTTTTCTTCTTTAACACTGTCTCTCTTTTCTCATCTACTTCTCTGTCTTCATCTACTTCTTTTATCTCTGCCTCTTTTTTTTTTATCTTTTCTTGTTAACAATTTTTTTAATAGATTTATTTATTTTTGTACTATGTTTTGCCTTTTAAGAAAACAAATTTGTGCTATGTTTTATGGTTCTTGAATGCTTATATAGTTGATGGATTTACTTTTTTATATTTGATATTAATTTTTAGAATATTGATATGACTTGTGAGATATGAATGCTATTATGGTAGTTTAAAATTTCAATTGTGCGCCTCACTTCACTCAGGAGCGCGCCTCGCGCCTAGGCTCCAAAGGACCTCTAGCGCCTTGGTACGCCTTGAGCCTTTAATAACACTGGTTTAGACCATGTCTAAAATTAAGATGCTAAAGATCATGACCCATTGACTTCCCACAAGTCCTGAAAAGATACAAGTGCTTCAAGGATTTGGTGAATGCAACAGCCACAACTTAGTTTATACTGGTTCAGTTATCACAAACACTGATATGTATTGGTGAAGTACAGATTCAAGTGAGCAGATGGACTACTTAAACATCAGAACATGTTCTTGGAAACTATAATTTCAGCACAAATTTAACAGCGTAAATGATATAGAAATAAAATGCTTTATAGAATATGCTTAAGATGGCTTTGCTTTACATAGATGGAAAAAATTGAAAAAATTAGATCACCTTAGTTTTTTTTTTTCCTAGTTGGTACTCACACACATTTGTCTCTTTTGAGACTTGAACCCCTGACCTCCCTTTGAGAGGTAAGAGGCTGATACCGCTAGGCCATTGACCCGTTGGTATTAGATCACCTTAGTTCTAAATTCTAAATCTTACCAATTCAATTTTGAATAAGTAAACTGAAGCATGGACCCAACTGACTCAAGAAAATCAGGGTTATGAATGCAATAGTATGAGATAGATGGAAATAGATTGCAATTTTTAACATCTGAGGCACCCTACTACTAACAAGATGATATTAAACACCAAAAAGTATAAATAAGCATCAAATTTGCCACTGCACAAGCTCAATAATTTTATGCAAAGTTTGGAAAGCATCATACTTGAATTACTCGTATCCATTGATTCCTGTTCCTTAAGATTCTTAAAGCCTTAGCGGCCGCAATCAACGGAAACTCTGTTTCCCAAGCCGTCCATTTATCCAATGCTCCATAAACAGCCTCCTTCTCGTTTGGAAGCCCAGAAACCTGCCAGTTCAAGGTTTACAGACTAGGTAACATAACAATTAAATGCTCTTTTAGTCCAAATATTTGAAATTGCCATTCCTACAACTATGCGATCTCTCATTCAAACCAGTTAAGGAATCATCACAAGAATCAGATAAAAAACCTAAAACAGCAGAAACAGGATTACAGACAAAGTAATAAAAATCATACATACAATTCGAACAAGATCAAGTGCCTTTTGCCCAGACCCAGCTGACTCTCTTTTATTCCACAAGTGATGTTCTCTCTTTCCTGCCTTCTTAATCATTTTTCCTGCACTCCCTGCTAAGAAAATCCTAGTGAAGCAATTTTTAAAATCTAGGAAAACAATTACAGTGACGACAACTGATAGATGACATCATTACCAAAACATCAGACGATTAGAAATCATAATGCTACTCATATTCTTAGTGGGAGAAATCACCTACCCTTGACAGCATTGGTATTAGTTAGTGATTGTCTACTTTGATTGTTGTGGGAGCACTTGACGTGCGAGATGCAAGTTACCTACAAATCAACATAAAATTTTCAAAACCGAAGAAAAGGGAATTTTAAACCCCATTAATTAATTTTATTGGTACACAATAACATTTTAGGAAAATCAAAAGGAAACAAATACAATTTATCCTCACTTGCCTTCGGCATGAAGACAATAAACCCTGTACCCTTCTGCACTGAAGAAAATCCACAATTAGAAAACCCAAACCCTACCACAGGATCTACTCTGGCTGTCCTCTAAGAATCGGTACAGAAAGTTCAGATCAGAAACATTTATAGAGCAATATGGCATTTTAGGGCAATGAGAAGATAAGTGACAAGATAAAAATTAACAGTCAACCTGATTTTGTCCATTTGAGGAAAACAAGAAGGAATTTGGATTATTGCTACTTAAACCTATCATTGATTCCAACTTTAACTCCAAATCAACAAGCTATGCTTCAAATAAGCTAATCCAACCAATTCCTTGAAAAAACAATCAAAACCTGATTTTGCCCTGCATAAATGAATATTACCCAGTAACTCACTTAGAATAATGCCCAAATTATTTGTGAAATTCCAAACAATTCTACGATTACAATATCATAATAGCAATACAAACAATTATACAAATTAACCTTCAAAAAAACAAATTAAGTAGCGCAAATTGCAACATGCATATAAATGATATGAACTAAAAATAAGCAGCTCTTTCATTTTTCTTACCAATACAAACCTCAAATTTCCGCCTCAATATTCAAATTTCATGGCAACTCAGTATTTGTGGCCTATAATACATATATGTGTATGTCTACATAGTTCGATTATCAAAGAAATGAGTGTACTTGCGATAGTCGAAGACAATACGAATGGCCACTGCAAATAGGTATATACTCAGATTAGAGAGATGGAGAAGAGACACCGGTGAGATAAGAATTTAGCGCCAATTGGGCCCAATTTTTCTATGGGTTTGTGTTGGGCTCACAGCAAATGAGAAGAGAAGTAAGAATTTGGGCTTCATGTAGACATTCAGAAATGGTCCTTAGGCTTTTGTAGAAGTTGGGCTTTATTACAGACAGAAATTCTACAACACAACCTCAAACTTCATCTCTACCACCAGTCAGTGGTGCCATTACAAGGCACTCCCGCCACCACAACCACCAGTAACGCCCCCAGGCCCCCCACTTCCTCCACCCACACTACCACTCCTGGTAGCGCTATGTCACCTACCCTCTGCATCCTCCACCACCACTTTTGGTCCATTGCCACCTTTTAAACTATCACTCGGGTCCATGACCATACTAATAGGACTTATCTAGACAATAAAAATTAAGGGTATATTTGGTTTGTAATTCTAAAAATACATACTTTTTTGTAATTGAATTTTTAGAAAATAGTTTTTGGAAGACTAAACCAAGCAAATTTTTGTACAGATTTCTGATTCTCAATTTTATGAAAAAAAGAAAAAATAATTCTAAGTGACAAACCAAACAAACTTTTACAATTAGAGATCATAATGCTACTCATATGCTTAGCGGAAGAACTCACCTACTCTTGGCAGCGTTGGAATTAGTTAGTGATTGTCTACTTTGAGTTAGATCTGCTTGATAAAGAAACAGCAGCAGTGATGTTGTGATGGGAAGGAAGAGAACTTTTACATATGGTATGAAATTGAATGCCAAGGCGACGGAGAAAAAAATAAATTGATTTAAAAATAATAGTGGTAATTTAGAGATTGAATTTCTTTGATTGTGTGAGAGGGTGGTGGAACTCATATATCACTTATATAAATTAAATTCAATAATTATCGAATTCAGGTCTTAAGTCATTATTACAAAAAAAAATGGAGCAAGGGCTAGAAAATGGGCATCTTGATCATCAATTCTCAGTCTGTTGGATTCCTTGCGAAATGCTTAAGAAAACGACTGATTTGAACATAAATATTGATGAATAATATATTTGCTAATGGTGATTAATTTTATGTTTAGAATAATATGCATTCAATCTCATAAATTATTCCTATCAACTTTCGGTGCAATTCATTAATATGTATTAGAATCTCTCTTTATGGACGGTCGGTTTTGGTAAGGTTGTTTTGCTAAATTATGTTTTAGAACTAATTATCTCAATTTTACCTGGTATTGATGCTTTCTTTTACTAGTAATACATTTTTTTATATATTCTATTTTTTTCCCTTCCAAAAACATTTCAGATTACATGAATTCCTTTACAACTTTAATTTATTCTACCAAAGGTAAGAGGTGAATGAATTCAAGCCTTGATGGAGGCCGAGTATGTAAGTGAATTTGCTTTCCCATAATAAAGTACTGCACTTTTGATTCAATAATTTTTTATTAAATTTAAATGAAATATATGACTTGCTAGTGATTTGTACATACCAAAATTTTCATTTAAAAAAAAAAAAAAAATACTTTTTATAAATTATTTCTTCAAAAGGAGATAATAAAAAATCTAAAGAAGGAATATGGCAACTAGACAGGAGAAGAACATAAAGAAGATAGAATATGAAAGAGATATAATTCTAAAATTCACAATGACGAAGAAGGGTAGAAATAATTTCAGAACTAAGATATGGTTGTTTTCAAAATTCACAATATTTGGTTAAAATAATTGAGCACCGACAAAACATCAATTAGCTAGCCTAATTGGCAAGGTTCCATGGTGTAGTGGTTAGCACTCTGGACTTTGAATCCAGCGACCTGGGTTCGACTCCCGGTGGGACCTATTTTTTTTTTTTTTCTTTTCATTTGATTTCTGCCCTTTTGCACATAAAATGAGAACAAGCTGTAAAACATATACATATATCCATAATCTTATATCATTTGCACTAAAAGAGACAACTAACTCAAGAACAGTTGAGCAACACATGAATGACCTAACACCCTCATTCTATACGGATGAACCCTAAAATAGAATGGGTATTTGTAATTGATCACACTTCATTCCATGGTTAATTGAGTTTCGTTAGCACAATTTATTTATTTTTCTCTCTCACTAATCATTGTCCATATGGGGGTAATAAAAGAATATTCTCCAATTAATAATATAAGGTAATGAAGATGGCCATTTTGCATGGTGGGAGGAGAGGGGATGAGGAATCTCATGTGTAAAACATTTCAGCCAAACATTGGCAAGGCATTTTTCCAACTTTTTTCTATTCCTTCTCTTCTTTTTTTTTTTTTTTTCAATTTTATTTCCAATTAAATCATACATAATATTCTCTGAGAAAATGTTTCAATTTCGCGCCTTTAAATCTAGCAGAGCTCTCTCTGGTGTCCCTGTGCAGTCCCAAAATTAAGATGTGTGAACCATATATGGAAGGTGAAGGAGTGGAGGTGGTAGAATACAGAGCAATGGACATTAGTCTCAAGGACCTCTCCAAGAAACTCCAAGAATTTGCCAGTGCTAGAGACTGGGAAAAGTATCATACTCCGAGAAATCTACTCCTTGCTATGGTAAATCTTCATTGTCTCTCTTAATTAATTTAATTATAGCAATATATATAGTTTGCATTAAACTGTTTGTTTTGCCTCAAAATTTTATGCATGGCATGCTATTTTTGATATTATACAAGTAATTACTGTCAAGTTTTGCTGAGATATATATATACATCTTCTATACTGAAAACTATTTTGAAGACTTGTTGATGTGTAGAAAACTTTTCTTTGAGTATGATAGTCATTTCTCTGATTTTGATATTATACAATTAATTACTGTCAAGTTTTGCTGAGATATATACATCTTCTATACTGAAAATTATTTTGAAGACTTGTTGATATATAGAAAACTTTTCTTTGAGTATGAGAGTCAATTCTCTGATTTTGATATTATACAAGTAATTACTGTCAAGTTTCGTTGAGAGAGAGAGATATATATATATATACCCTGTACTTATTTTGAAGATTGACTTGTTGATATACAGAAAACTTTCTTTGAGTATGGGAGTCAATTCTCTTATATAAGGGCTATACAAAGCTTATATATATATATATTTAGAGAATAAGTGTTTTGATTTGGAATAAGTGAAGTAACTAGTGACTTGTTCATAGATTCAAGAATTAATTAAGATTGTAATTAATAAAATAGGAATATATGAAAGACAACTTGTGCTGAGCATATATACTATCTGAGAAATTTGATTCAGGATTGCCACACTTGTTTTAGTGGCAAGTACCATAACATCCCAAACAAATTCTTATTCCAAGATGCCTCTTCTGACAAATTTACAATTATATATATACTTAATACTTAATACTATATATATATATATATGGTTAATATAATGTTTGAAGTGCAGGTTGGTGAAGTAGGAGAGTTATCAGAGATATTTCAGTGGAAAGGAGAGGTGGTAAAAGGGTTACCAAATTGGGAGGAATCAGAGAAGGAGCATTTGGGAGAAGAGTTGTCAGATGTACTGCTATATCTCATCAGGTTGGCTGATATTTGTGGCATTGATCTTGGTCTTGCTGCCACCAATAAAATTGTCAAGAATGCTATCAAGTACCCGCCCAAGAACATCTTCTAAAACTGTATTTTTTTTTTTTTTTGGGCAAGTAAAAAAAAAAAAAAAAAAAAAAATTGTGTTTTTTTGTTTGTGTTTTTGGGAGCAAAAAGAACAATCAATTTTAATGATGATCAATTTTGTTGATATGGTATGATTAATGATGATCTTTTCTCAGTAAGATGACAGCTATAATCTATGGCACCATCCATATATCATAGTAATCACCCATTTTAAACTAGTGGATATTTTTCAGATGGTATCAACACTCCTTGAAAAAAAAAAAAAAAAAAAGACAGTTTTGAGTATTGAGAACTTGAATTCTCATTAATTACCAAAAAAAAAAAAAAAGTTTAGATTATTGCACAATAATTTTTTATCGATTATGCAACAACTATATTAGATCACTATACAGTAACTTTACATCGTTAATGCAATGCATTATGTTACAAAAGGGAAACACAGAAGCGGATATTGATTCAAGAGTTTCAGCCTTTTATAAGTGCGTGTGAGTTTACTAGAATTTTCCGAAAAAATATGTCTATAAATTAATAATAATGGTGCCAGTGTTCAGACTCAAAAAATCTTTCTCAATTCATTAGGTAGATCAAAAAGCATAAACAGCGGGTAGTTTCATAACCGTTAAACGTGACAACGACTCATTCAATTTTTAATTTATTTATTATAACTGAATTTTAGTTCCCACTCTGTCCTTATAATATATATACATATACACATGTGTGCACATTTTTGATACCGGACTTCTCTGAATCAAATCCAATCCTCTTCACATCCCAATCTCAGGTCTTCATCATCATCTTTCTATTGTATGTATATATTACTTTGTTTTCATATATAGAGATGAATTAAATAAAAAAGTTTGTTTTTTTCTATTTAATTTTTTTCCCCCTTTAGATCATCAAGTTTGTGAACAGCAGGAATTGAATTAAAAGGTGCATGATTCATTCCTTGTTTGCATCTTCTGTTTGGAACATTTTGTTAAATTAATGTTGCAAATGATCACAGATCTCATCGAATTGATTTACAAATACAATGTGGTCTTTAAAGTGTCCTTGTTTTGAGTAGTTCTGTCATCTGAATTCTCCAAATAATGATCAAATCACCATCGTTTCATGGTCCTTAATTTGTTTACTATACATACATATATATGTTTTTAACACACACACATATATGTTTTAACATATATATACACACACACAGTGTTAGATTTGGGTTGATGGGTATTGTAGATTTTCCTTTTAGGTTTGACAAGACATCATGTAATTTTGTTGCAGAATTATCCTCTCATTCTTTCACAAGATGAACTCAGTTAATATGTTGTAATGCAATTTGTTGATATCAAAATTTTCTCATTGCTTTCCTTTTATTTATTTATGATGTTTGATGAGATTTAAAATCATGAGAGCATATGAATTCAATCAGTCTTCAAAACCAAATTACATGTTTGTGAAATTTGTGATCATGCAGTAAACTGTGACAATGGAAGGAACAGCGTTTAGTCCTTGTTTGGAAGGAATGAATCATATCAAGTCTGATAAAGGGGACTTGATGACCAAGCCTTTCTTGGACGTCTGCAAACTCATATTGCCTGTTCTAGGTGCATTTTCAATAATATCACACAAAATTCATACATTATTTCCTAATTTTTGCCCTAATTTTAGTCGGGACAAAGCCCCGGACATATTTATACTCACTGTAAGTGTTTGTTTTGGTCTTTGGATTGTCAATGAATATAACTCTTTTCTATTTTTAATGGCATCAGATAAATTCGGAGCTGCTATGACTGTAGTGAAATCTGATATCAGTGGTAATATAACGGTATGATATATCCTCTCCTATGAATTATTTTTCCTTGGATTAAAAAATGTTGCTATAACATTAACATATGCCATAAATAGTAACAAATGGTCACATATGACATTCACAATGTGGTTTTCTCAGATTAGTCCAATCCATTTTGACAAAATCTTAAGCTATGGCACATGCATGTATATATATCTCACTGCTGATTTTTGCTACAGAGGTTGGAATCTAAATATTCTAGCAATGCATCCAGATTCAACTACTTGTACAGTTTGGTACAAGCTGAAGTTGAAACAAAAACAGCAAAATCATCATCAAGTTGTACCAATGGTCTGCTTTGGTTGACAAGGTACATGAAGATACAAACATATGCTTGTTCTGTTAAGGGAGTCATTTTTTATTTATTTATTTATTCCATAAATATGTGCATATGCATACTGGCATAATCTAAACCTAAGAAAAGTTTTTAATAAATAATCTCTTGTAAAAAGTTAATTTTATCTTGTCATACTAACTGATTGCTAAGGAAAAGGATGAAGAAAAAAACAGAGATTGTTAACTTTGTTAGTCAACAAATTACTTTTCCAGTATTAGATTTCTGGGATGTATGATACGGTTTTTATGATTCTACAGAGCGATGGATTTCTTGGTGGAACTGTTTCGAAACGTACACGACCATCAAGATTGGCCCATGGAAAAAGCTTGTACAGATTCTTATGGCAAGACTTTGAAGAAATGGCATGGCTGGCTTGCTAGTTCAAGTTTTACTGTAATGTTACTCTTTCCTGCTCATCCTAATTATGAATTTTATCTTCAGGAGATAAATATTTGTTACATGTCTGTTGTAAGCCATCACTCTTCATAATCTGCCTTTACAGGTTATATTATATGTTCATTTCTCCTTTGAATAGGTTCTACTGCCATTAAGATCACATACCATTGTGAAGTTTAGGATAGCTTTCTATTGGCCTTCTTATCTCCAAATTGACATGAACCATATCAAACCCTTAGGAAAGGTACAAGGATAACAACAGTGTATGAAAAAACATGTACTACCTCCGTCCCTTTTTAATTGTCCATCTCATAAACTGTGAGTCACAGCCTGTACGAGGCGGACAATTAAAAAGGGACGGAGGGAGTATGTATTTAATGAAAACCGTACCTTCAATACTTCTTGAGTCCTCAAACCGTCTCCTCTGAATCCAACCCTCCTGGAATTAGAAAAGCAACCAAAAAAGGTGGAGAAGAAAGCCATGAAGGAGTGTTGAAGTCCCAGCAATTTATCAGGCTTAAAGTTCTTTAGCAAGTAGCTAGAAATGGCTCTTCAATCTGCACTAAACTCCATAATACACACATACAAGCATGTCTTGGAGAGCCAAGATTTCTCGACTCACGTGGCCTTGACATTTTAGATGAGGGTCAAGTGCAGCTTCCTTTTACAATTTCAAGAAAGATCTAGGAGGACCCTGATTGTAGGAATATTACTAACTATTATTGCCTTAATCCTAAGCACTGAGTAGGATAAAGGAGAGTTGTGTAAGCCATTACTCGCAATTAAACAAAATAAATAAATAAACAAATAAAGAGAGAGTAAAGCCATTGCTTTTAAAACAACCATGTATTTAAAGAAACCTTAGCTCACAGCTCTAGCATTATGACCAGACTTCCCTTCACTATCTCTTGTACTATAATAACTTTTGCCGTAACCATTAATCAGTGAAACATGATTTTTTATATTATATATATATATATATTGACTTTTGACACAATGAATTATCGAATAACAGGTTGCTATCAAACTTGCTCCGGATAGAAAGAAGTTCATGGAAGTAATAGGAGGCACTGGGGATATCTATGCTGATATGGAGAAGTTCTGCACAACTTTTTCACCTTTTCTTGTAGAGATCCACAAGTTTCTGGTAAGAAACCATGTGCTGTTGTGGGGCTGATTGTCTTAATAGCTTCAAAATCTAAATGTGTTCTTGAGTGATCATTATATGTTTGTAAACTTAGTCTTGGTTAATGTATACTCTGTTGATGCAGGCTAGTGTTGGCTTGGATAACATGAAAGCTTCATGATGCAAGAGGTCTCCTTATGCTCAACTCTCATTTTCATCTTTTTCCCCCCTTTAAATTCCTTTATCTCATCCATTCTTTCCTTCCTTATCTGTCTTTCTGTTTGTTTCTGTCTTTTATTTATTTATTTTCTTCAACATCTTTAAACCATATATATTCACTAGTTTGTTGAACTTGTGATGCTAATTACAACTTTCTCAATCTTAATGTTTATTTAATTTCCCGCTGGCTATTAAATAGCTTGTAGTTATATTTTTATATATTATGGTTTAATAACCTTGTTGATTTAGCTCATTAACATGTCTAACTTTGGGGAATGCTTTGCCTTCACTCTTCTTATAATCACATGGGAATTAAGGGTCCCCTTCTGGTTCAAACATAATATCCTAATTTATCCTTGCAAACAAACATCACCCAGAGTGTCTATTGCCCTTCTTCTGAAGAAACATACCCTCACTTGCAAGGGTAATGCTGTCCACATAATGGCCCTTCTGTGGCTCAATAAATCTACTATCTTTTTTATCCCTTAACAAAACATTCCCTAAGGCCTAAACCTATGTCTATCTGCTTGAACATCAACCTTTCACCTTTCCTTGGGAGTCTAGTAGGAGTTTCAACCTCAGTTATATTATTTTTAATAGTTATAATTGAGAAATTCTCATGTGTGACAAATCCTTTTCCCCGAGTTAGTTCAAGCTTTAGATTATTCTTAAGAGTTATATGCAATGAATTCAAGTGGCGCAACAATCAAGTTTTATTGAGAATGTTTCAAAAGGCCTGTATTAAACAATATAGGGTGACAATTATTCTATGGGTATACAACACTTTCATGCCTTTAAAGCAGAGTTTTTATTGTGTTTTTCTATACATACCACTATATATATAAATATGAGAGAGACTGAGCGAGGATGGGGGTGATACTATTACTATTGCATGAAAAAATAAGATATAAAACAGAATTCCAAAGCATGGGATTGAAACTGCAGATGTTTAATATTTATGAGATAATAAAGAACAGACCCAAAGCTCGCCTCCATCTTGCCTAATGATTCGGATATCTTCGTCAAGGTAGGTAACTTCAATTTCAATACTTCCTGTTTTTGATAGCGGGCTTAATGCATCAAGTATCTTCAATGGTGGTAGTGATCCATGTCCAATTGTCTTAGAAGAGTCTTAACATTATTTTAACCTTTGAAGACCCTGTTCATGTTAAAAGATCATTTATCAGGACAATCATTCATGTATTATGGTACAAACCATTCAAAAGCTAAAGAACTTGTGAATTTGAAAAAGTCCAACCTATGAGTTCAAATATGTGGGCTAATTTGGCATTCAGTTCAACTTCACCTTCATCAGGTTGCATGGACGGTGTACCAGACAATTTATTGCAAAAATCTTTGCTTGGAATGTCAATCCTCTGAGATACCTGATCAGAACAAAACACGGCCATTAGCAAGCAGTTTATATCTTGTGCAAGTTAAGGACCCAATAATTTCATGACTTTATGCATTGACAATCTCCTAGGAGACCCAAGTGTCTATTACAAGTAAATAAATTTAATAAATAGTCAACAGAAGGCACTGTTTACTGATTAAATACGCTACTGGATAGACTAATATTAGCTAAATCCACAAGTTCACAGCAATATCAAAACAATATAACATTACACATATATGTATGTAACATAAGAAAAGGGGGTTCAAGCACACCTCGCCAACAGTTGTGTGGGCAAACGTCGGCCCAGGACAACATCCATCAAATGTACAAGATAAGAAGGCACTGCTATATATCAGTTTCCACCACCCTTGCATTTTATCAAGATTAACTGAGAGATCTACTGGCCCTCCAACAACGCTTCTGCCTTTTGTAGCTCTTCTTCACTCGAACCAAGGCCTCTGTTTAGCCCAGAAATAATACCCTGCAATTGACCACCCCTTGTGTGTGTAATAAGTCATATATGTACCTATAGATAAATATTAGTTCACTCAAGCTTTTGCACTAATGCAAATACAATTAATATATATACATGACCATTCATAAGTGCACCAATTTTCTCAAAGGTTGATCTGAGTAAGAAGAGTTGGATGATTTTGAGTACACACTGATTGAGCTCCAAAAGCAGCAAGGCGAGAGAAAGCAATGATAGTCTCCGAACAATTTCTTGGGATTGTTGGATTTTGTTTTTCTTAATGGAATCATATGTTTCTAGACCTTGCATATTAAAAGAGAAATGTGATATAGGCATCACCGAAGCAGGCATTTTCCGAATGCTGATGCACAATGACATGGCGTAGCTATTGGTTTGGTATTTAATTTTGAGAAATATTGGCTGCTTTTGAACTTCATATAAATCTGAAAATCAAAAGGATGACAGAATTTATAATTTGACACTCTTACTGTATCTCTCACAAGTTACAAGTTAACTGTAAAATTATATTACAAACAATATCCACTATACGAAATTCATACCTGAAATGAAAATCCCTACACTTTTTCGTTCCTAAGAGGCTAGGGAAACAAACCTAGGGTCTCCCTAATATGTTAAACATTTATTTAATCATTTCAGAGTTTATAAAGCCAATCACATTGTCATTCTGAGCTCTAGTACATTTATCCCATGAATACATCAGGACTTAGCAGTGATCATCAATTACACAATGAAGTGCAGACTTTTTGCAAATAATTTACTGGTATGTAATCGAATAACAATACAAAAAAACAAATGGATATTGGGTAAATTTCCTCTGTTTTCCCCTCTTCTAGATGATTTGAAAAACCAAACAATACAAATGATTTAATTCATGTCTCCAACCAGAAGCAACATTTTGCCCACAATCGAACTAACATATCATTGAATCATTTCACAGAGAAAACTGTACTAAAATTGTATATTTAATAAGCAAAATTCAGTAGTCAAACTACAACCACAGGAAAACAAACAATATAACAGAAAAAAATAAATATTTATCAATTAAAATGTTTTTAAAAATATGACACTTAGTTATAATAGGGTCAAACCTATCAATGTACCAGACACGGACCAATTTCATTGGCAGTGGGTGCAATTGCTCTGGAAAAAAAAAAATATATATATATATATATATATATATATATATATATATATATATATACCTTTTTTTTTAATTTAAAATTTCCCTCACTCAAACTACAAATAATAATAATACTAATAATAAAATCACTATTGCCCCCGGCATTATTAATTTATTATTTACTGTGTTATCGGGTGTCCCTGAGTTTAGTCAAAAAACTATAAGAGTAAAGTACAGCAATACAAGGTTTGTTAAAAAGACACTCAGAGACAACTTATCCTATTTTGGGACAATGACACCTTCTATGAGATTTGTAGGCCAAACAAAGCCTTAAAACATGTAAAAAGTCAAATTTGCCTTTCATTATTTTATTAATTTTAATTATAAAATATCAAAATAATTAAAAGACCAAATTACCCTTGCCTCTTTCTCTCAATTACCCTTTGCCCCCCCCCCCCCCCCCCCCCCCCCTCTCTGTATCTTCAAAAAGAACAAGAATGAAGTCAAAAAGAAAAGAAGTCATCCACCATTAAGAGTTTGTTCAACAATCAAAGCAGCGAGCAAACGAAGAAAATGTCTAAAGGCTGGTCATTCAATTTTTTTTTTTTTTTTTTTTTTTTTTTGGGGGGCAGTGGTTGCTTTAGCCTTAATTTCATCGACTTCATTTGCCTCAAGAATTAGGAATCCAAGGAAGTGACCGGCCCCCTAGCATTTCTTAGGGTTCATCTTTCGTTGGCCTTATCTCATCCTTTCTAAGGTTTTTTTTGAGATTGAAGCCTTAATTCCTAGGATTCAAATGCTTCAATTGTTGAATCTTTCGCGATTGAAACAAGGGGTATATATATACATCTTCCACTGCGCAGCTGCCACTACCCGTCTACTGCGTCACCGCCACCGCCACGCAGTTAATACCATCACCATTCCTCTCCGACGCTGGTTAGTACCATCACTACCACGCCAGATCTCCTCATCGTCCGTTCAAGTCCCTCCGGTTAAAGCTTAGATCTCGCCGGATCTCTTCCACTGCACAGCCGCCACCACCCTTCCACTGTGGCAGTGGTTGTGGTGGTGGGTGTTGTGTGGCGGTGGTAGCAGTGGGTGTTGTTGCGGAGGCGCGCAGTTGTGGCAGTGGTGTTGGTGGTATGGATTTTTTAATGGTGTGTTAGCGGTGGTTGTGGTAAGGTATGAGGTCGGAGTTCTCGGTGGTTGTGTGTGTGTGGTGGTGGTTGTGGGGGGTTTGGCGGTGTGTGTGGCTATGGTGGGTGTGTGGCTGTGTTATAGAAAAGGGTATTTAAGTAAATAAAAAGTGTTATATTTGTCAATTTTATATCGAATGGTAATATAGTTAATTCATCATTTGTAAGGGTGCCTTTGTCTATTTTATCAAATGCGAGGGGTGTCCTTGTCCGTGTTTTGATCTAATTCCTTCCTCATATGCCACCGTCCCATATCGATGCATATAATGCAAATGATCCATAAATGATGCACACTCAATTGAACATCAAATACATCCAGAGACAAACATAATATCAATCAACTATAGACAAGATCATATTATGCATCCAGTATATGATTATAATCATAGATCCTCCTTTTATATTGTTAAGGTAATGATATACAATTTAAACCATCCATTTCCATATAATTGACAGAACAAAAATTATAACAGTTCAGCAATTAACATCCATAGCATGATATAATGATTATCAGAATTATAAATTGCACATTATACTAGAATTCCCAACCAATACTTCCATACTAGTTCATTTACATTGCTAAAACAAAGACTAGCATTTAAATCCTTCTTAATCCTTGACGGCATACAAATTAATATTTAAATCTCATGACGTCCATTTAATCCTCAACCCAAAATTGGAGCCTGCTCAACCCAAAATTGGAGCCTCCCAAAATAGACTAAGTTTTATCTGTGTATCCTTTTGACAAACCTTACAGGGTGTTGCTGTACTTTACTCAAACTATAAATGCTTTTTCAATTACATTTGATAGAGTACAAACATTTCAATCAAATGAATTAAACCATCATCAACCACAAGCACAGAAACCAAAGAGAATCAACAAAATGAAGTGTAGATATGATATGCGAAGTACAAAATTTAAAGTATACAATTGAGCATTGCAACAAGCATTAAACTAAATTCAAGTGAAGCCATGTCAGAAATTTGAACGAATACCAGTAATTTGAGCTTCAGAGACGCAATGGGCTCGGGCTTCTGCGGCGGCGGTGGTGCGTCAAGAACGGAGACTTCACCGGTCACCCGTCGGCGAACGTGGTTTGTCTTAGGATGAGTGTTTCGTGGCTAAGACAAGTGAGAGACAGGTTGTCTGGGATGAAAAGGAAGAGTGTTTGGTGGGTAATAAATGTAAGAGACAAAGTGTCTGTGGTGAAAATATGCGAGCGAAGAAGAAGAAGAATGTGATGGCGTTGAAGAAGAGAGAGACAGAATAGGTGAAAATTGAAGAAAAGAAGCCATCGATAGATGAGTTTGTGTCAGAAAAGTGTTTGTTAGGAAGGAAAATGAGAGTGATTTTTGTTGAAACCACCGAAAAATTCATGAGAATTGTCTGTCATTGCAAGTTGATGGCTATGAAATAGAGTCAGACACATGGATCGGTGAAATTTATGTGGGCCCACCTGTACGGAGAAAAGCCTAATTACGCTGTCAATAAACTCCGAAGTAATGAATAATTTTTTCATAAATGAAGTAATTAATATTCTAGATGGAATAGAATATATATATATATATATATAATACTGAGTTATAATAAAAGCTAGCTTGTGAACTTCGAAGTAATCAATATACAGGTTGGGGGATCAAATGAAATGATAGTTCTTAAATGGAATCCCCAGTAAGTCCTCTCATTTGTGGAGGGTTCCTGGTTTCTTCAGGAGTAAGAGTGAGACCTTTTTGGAATCATCTCTTTTGATCTCTCTTCAATTTTCTGATTTCTCCACCTTCCTCCATCATTTTCTTCTCCTTCCCTCTTTTAACCCATCTCTTAGCTTTCATCATGGATGACATCACTGCTAACCTGCAAGTTTTCACCCTAACCCCAGAAGAAGATGACATCATTGAAACAAATGACGATGATACTTCTGCCGCAATCGCTGAATGCCATAAGAGCCTATTCGGTAAGATCATTTCAGATAATCAACCCACTAATTCGAGGGTTCTTCAAAATATCTTGTCAGATCTTTGGCAGTGTCCTCTCAAGGTTTTCCGCCTTGCAAATGGTATATTCCAATTTCGCTTCAAATCTGAGCAACCGTCCATGGTTCCACAAAAATTATCTCCTCCTCCTCACCGAATGGAAACCCAATATTCTTCTCAACAACTCTGTTTTCTCCCATTCCTCTTTCTGGGTGCATCTTGACAATATCCCGTCAGAGGGCCTCACACTGGACATTGGGGTAAAAATCGCACAAAAATTCTCCTCTTTGCACAGGGTTGAAATAAGAGAAATTAGAGACTAGGGGTAACCGGAGGTGAATTTCTTCGTATTAAGGTTGATATCGACATCACCAAACCTTTGCGCAAGGGTATTCATTTAAAGCTTTTTGGTAACATTATTTGGGTTGCTTTTGGATATGAGCGACTTCCGACGTTCTGTTACAAGTGCGGCATTCTTGGTCATATTCAGAACAATTGTACAAGGGAATCACCTTCCACATCCAGTCATAGCTCTCACCCTTACCCATTTGGTCCAGAAATGCGAAGGAATTCCATTAACAGTGCGCTTATTCATCAGTCCTCGCCGTTTCCACAACATCAACCTTCATCGCCGGAATCTAACACTCAGTTTTTGGAAAGCGTTGATTACCATGTTACTTGGCAACTATCAACCACACAAACAGAGTCAGCAGCACCAATCAATGATGTCTCTGTTAGAACACCACTCCCGTTCCAGAGTGTACTCAGACACGCAACGTCCTGTCCTGATGCAACTCCACCACGTGACACACCCCTTCTAGACACTCCTCCACTCTGCCCACAAATATCAGGCCCTCACACATTTGGGTTTTTCTGTCTTAGTCCTGAAGGTATTTCTCTTCAACCCAACCCCTTTTTATTTCTCAGCCAACCCTTTAAGTCCAACTCTGATTTTTTACAAGGCCAACCTCTCTCACCAGATCCACAATCTTTGCACAAACCCCACTCTATGCCCCGTAATGAAATTTCACATACCCACTCCCAGCTTCAATCCATTATCACAGACCCAGTTCTAACCCAATCCAATACCTCAGTCCTCCATCCTCCCTCCAACCTCACTGTGGTTAATACCCCTTTCACATTTTCTGCAACCCCAGTCACTAAGGGCTTCTCAGTACAGAGGTGGTGGAAGCAGAGAGCTCGCCTTATTTCTTCTTCTTCTTCTCCCTCTCCAACCCCATCTCCCACATTTTGTGTAACAAAACGAATTTTCCCCTCCAAAGATGCAATCACTCAGCCTCATAAGAAGTACAAAGATGATTTTCTCTCTGCTTCGCACACAGAAATCACTCATTCTGTTGATGAACCATGTAATCTGGTGGAGGTAGCCAATCGTGAATGGCCTCAACCCCCCCCCCCCCCCCCCAATAAAAGTTATGGTGTGGAATTGTCAGGGAGTGGGGAACCCGTGGACAATTTCCCAATTGAGGAGGCTAGTGTTCCTTCATTCCCCACCTATTTTCTGTTTATTGGAAACAAAAAATACATATGACCGTTTGGGAAGAATAAAAGGTATTTTGATGCATATGAAATGTTTGTTATCCCATCAGTGGGAAAATCAGGGGGTCGTGCCTTGTTTTATTTTAATGCTTGGGATATAAAGATTATTGACTTTACCACTTTTCAGATTACATGTGAGGTTTTTGGCTCCTCTAGTAGTGACAGTTGGTTTCTCACAGTCGTGTACGCCTCATGTTCCGATAGTGAACGAGCCTTGCAATGGCGTTACATCCACAGTCTTAAATTTCAACTGGGAGTTAGTTGGATCCTCCTTGGTGATTTTAATTCTATTCTTTATCCAGATGAGAAGCGAGGAGGTCAAACCACTCAAAATTGGATGCTTAAGGATTTCTGGATTTTATCTCGGATTGTCGTCTCTCTGATCTGGGTTTTAAAGGTCCCCATTCACTTGGGCGAACAATAGAGAATCGAAATATTTTATCATGGCTCGGCTTGATAGAGCTCTCTGCATATGCCACTAGCATTCAAAATTCAAGCACTGTTCCTTAGCTTACCTCATGGTTACAGGATCAGACCACTGTGCTCTCCTCTTATGCCTGAATGATTCTCTTTTACCAACCAAAAAACAATGGCATTTTGACGCTCGCTGGGTCAAGCAAGAAGACTTTAAACAGGTTGTTAGTGATGCTTGGGTTTTTCCTGTTATTGGGTCTGCTCAGTTTTGCTTAAAGCAACGTCTTGTGTACTGTAAAGCCTCTCTAAAGTCATGGAGTTCTTGTTCATGCTCTAATTCGTAAATTCAGATTAAAACTCTTCAAAGCCAATTGGTGAAGCTTAAGGAACAAGGGCTAGCTTCCAATAGATCTGAAATTTGTAATATTGAAAGGCAACTCAGGGAAGTTTGGAGAGATGAGGAGTTATTTTGGAAACAAAAGTCGCATATCGACTGGCTCAAGCATAGAGATTGCAACACTGATTTCTTCCACCGTAAGGCTCAAATTCGGCGAAGTAAAAATTCAATATTGGGATTGGAAGATGACTCCAGAAAATGGTGTGATTCCAAACAAGGTGTGCGCACTATTACTGAAACTTATTTTAAATCTATCTTTTCCTCATAGGGCTCTGCTTTAGATAATGATTTTTGGTCCCTTGTTCCTTCGAAGGTCTCTTCGGAGATGAATTCTGACCTTCTTAGTGCTGGAACTAAAGATGAGATCCTTTCAGCAATTAAATCAATTGGTCCCTTCAAAGCTCCTAGCCCAGATGGTCTCACCCCTCTGTTTTTCCAATCAAATTGGAACTTGTTGCTCCATGATCTCGTTTCAGGCTTTAATTATTTTCTCTCTAGTGGTCATCTTTTGAAATCACTGAACACCACAAATATAGTTCTCATTCCCAAAATTAAAAACCTAACCAAAATAACCCATTACCGCCTTATCTCTTTGTGCAACGTAATTTACAAAGAATTTTCCAAGGTGATTGCCAACAACTTGAAAAAGCTTCTACCTTTTCTTATTAGTGAAAATCAGACTGCTTTCGTCCTAGGTCGGCTTCTTCATGATAATGCTATGTTGGCTCATGAACTCCTCCATGCCATGAAGACCAAGTCCCGGTTTGGCCACTTTGCCCTTAAACTTGACATGTCCAAAGCTTTTGATAGAGTGGATTGGAGTTTTTTGAAACGCCTCCTTATGCATCTCGGATTTGCAGAGCAATGGGTTCAAATCATAATGGAATGTTTATGAACAGTGTCATACTCTCTGGTGATCAACGGGGAAAGTGGTGATACTTTCGTTCCCCAAAGGGGTCTTAGGCAAGACGACCCTCTGTTGCCTTACCTTTTCTTGTTGTGCACTGAAGGGCTTTCAATTCTTCTTCAAGATGCGGAGAGAAATCATCACATTCAGGGTGTGTCGATTGGTAGAGGTTGTGAACCAATCAACCACCTGTTCTTTGCTGACGACGCTCTGCTTTTCTGTAAGGCAAACATGTCCCAAGCGCTGCATCTGAAAACCATCATCTCTAAATATGGTTCTCTTACTGGACAAGTTGTAAATTTTGACAAATCTAGCTTGTTTTTCAGCTCACATATAAGCATCGAGCTTAGAGATCAACTTAGAAGAGCTCTTGATATCCATAATGTTGACTGGATCAATCGGTACCTGGGCTTACCTTCTGTTTTGGGTAGATCTAAAAAAGCCACTTTCAGCTATCTGGTCAACCAAACTTCTTCTCAAATAAAGACTCTTAAAGGCGATTTCTTGTCCAAGGCTGGTCACGAGGTTTTACTTAAATCGGTCATCTCTTCCCTCCCCAACCACTCCATGTAAAGTTTCAAAATCCCTAAAGAAACCATTAATTCAATTAGAAGCAACATGCTCAACTTTGGTGGAGCGGTAAATCACAATCCATCAAAATTAAGTGGATTAGTTGGAGTAAGATGTGCGACTCAAAAGGGAATGGGGGCTTGAGTTTTCGAGACCTGGAGGCTTTTAACCTTGCTTTTCTTGCCAAAGTAGCATGGAAATTCGAAGTTGGAAATGACTCTATGCTTTTTAGAATTTTCAAGCAGCGCTATTTTCGGAATTGCAGTTTCCTCGGTTCTTCATGTTCTCCGGTGCACTATTGAGTATGGAGAAGCCTCAGTGCGACTAAAGAGATCATCTTGAAAGGTCTTAAATGGAGAATTGGTGATGGTAAATCGATTGATTGCTGGAATGCTCCTTGGCTCTCGTGAAATTCCAGCTTCAAGGTCACTTCAGCTTTCATTAGTGGTAATGTTCATACGGTCGCCGATCTCATTGTGATACCCCTCGTTTCTAGAGCCACGGGTGATCAAGTCCGAGCACAGATCCGAGGGATACCAAACAATCAATATGTAAACAAGCAGGAATAAAACTGAAGTAAGATTTAAATAATAATAACCAGAAAGAATACTAATATGAAAATCCTCAAACCTTAAATAATAATTTAATATAATTTAAATCCGTACAACTCGGGAATCCACCTGGTGGACCCCTAAATACAAATCTTTAGATAAATTTACAGAATTAAAATCCAAAACCATAATAGGAAGGAAATCCTATGTAATCGGTAAAGTGAGTATATGTATCTGCATCAACACGATCAAACTCTAAGCTGGAACTAGCGAATACCTGAAAAATAGGAGTGGGTCAGGCTCACATGCAAGTTCCAATCTACTACAATCCGTACATAAACCCGATACGCAGATACATCCTAGATAGCTCGGCAATATCTACAATAGTCCATATATATATAAATACACACTATAGGATGTTCACTAGCCTATAACATAGTTCAGCCTGGGTAGAATGTGACATATAAAACACGCTTTTTAGCGGCCAAGTACCTAGACCTACCAGGGAACATTAGTTATATCCAGCTACTCAACCTTTGCAATATACGTACCCTAACCATGATCAGGAGACTCAAGCTCGTATCACGGTACCATAAATATATATATAAATTCCTTCCTAGTGCAGAGATAAAACAAATATCCATTATGTCGTTCAACTGTTTTAGTTAACAGGACATGCATCCATGTCGGATTTAACTGTTTTAGTTAATCCATTCCTTATGTATGAAGGGGTAGGATTTAGATTTTTGATCTAATCCATCCCTGATATGTCACCGTCCCATACCGGTACATATAATGCAAATGATCCTTGAATGATGCAACATTTTCAACAGTTCATCAAATCATACCCACATAATCCAAATAGTTGATATACAAAGTTTAAACAGTTCATCAACTTGCAATCCAGAATCCATCCATGTAATTAACGAGACAAAGTTTAATAATTCATCAAGTTAAGATCCAGTATCCATCGATGCCATTGACAATTTAATTCATTTAATTAAATTTCAACTAACCCATAGTACAGTCCAGCAGTTGACAATATTAACAATAGTAAGAGTCAATTATAAAGCTGAGAATGCCAAACTATAACTCAGAAAAAATCCAACTAACCAATAGTTGCTGAAACATAAAGAACAGTTTAACCATTAAAATAACAATCTCTATTTAATTAATGGAACCTAATTTATTAGTTCCTTAATTAAAATCCAACCTATGCATAAATAAGGTCTAATAAATACATGACCCTATTCTGTATCTAACATAGATTTTAGAACCATCCTCCAGTCATCTAAGTTGCTAAATTAAATTTACACAACTAGATACTTTACAATCGCCAACAATGTGCGTCATTACTTAAAACTCCCACATTGTGAAAATCCTTAGCATATTAGGATAAATTATTCATTGTGAGTCCTAATATAGCTTAATATCATGTTTAGATTCTATGCAATAGTCCGTTAAATTTTTAAAACAAAACTTAGCGCACTAGTCCTTCCTATCCATTAGCAGCGTACAAAGTCGCTTATTTTTACACTGTTTATTCTGTTTGCCCTATGAACCAAAATATACAATTAGAGGAAATAAAAACCCTTGAAAATACTTTTAAAATTCTCATTCCAGTCCCTAAAACCATTTAGAATTTTAAACATAGCCCAAACAGTGCCCAAACAGCTCCAAAACGCATCCAAACGTGTCTTAACCAAGGGAGCCTGCTCTAAAATAAAAGAGCAGGCTCTATTCTACCTAGAGCCGGCTCCCTAACCCCTTGGAGCCGGCTCTAAGAAGGGGGAGACAACTCCCACAATTTGGAGCTCTCTCTCTCTCACTTTGAGCCTTCTCCTCTGCTCCAAACTCATCTCTGCTTTGTTCGGTTGCCTTCTGTGCTTCCGGCAAAGCTTCCCATCCTATCCCCAAACCTTTGTAGCATCTTTAGAACTCTATTTAAGTTTCTTACAGTCCTAGAACCCCTCATACTCCAGTGTAAATCAATCGACAGAAAGTAAACTCACGACAGAACAGTTTATGCAACAATAAGTTTAAACTTTAAAAAAACGCAGAACAGATTACAGAAAACATCTAGCATGCATAAAGTCCGTTTTTAAAAGTTTAATTACGTTCCTGGAGTCTATATAAGATGCACAGAACACAAGTTTACAGGAGAGGAATAGACTGAAATTTGCTTTAAGATTCCGGTTTGAAATCTTCATCGTCGTCTCTAAGTTTCAGAGCTTCTCCAAGATTGTTCATTCCTCTAATCACTGCTCCAGTTCAATCTCACAGTAAACCATTCCTTCCTCCTTGATACGACCTTCAATTACATTGTTGAAAGCCTTTCCCCAGTTTTCCTTTCATGTTTTACCCCTCAGCCTCTCTGTTTCTCTTTTTCTCTAGTTACGGGAACATAGTTTGTTTTTTTTAAAACCCTTGCCAGACCTACAACTTATATATATATAGGCTCCATTAAAACCCTAATCCTAATTTCCATGACTCATTATATGACGGCTATACCACATAAACCCTAAACTTAATTTATAAACCATATAAGCCATATACAACACACGTCAGTTAAAACCAATTAATCAATCAATTAAATTAAAACAAATAATCAATTACTTTAAAATACCAATTAATCGTCCAATTAAATTAAAACAAATAAACAATTAATTTAACACAAAAACAATGTTAATCAAACATATAGCCAAATACTCACACAAAACACAAAATCCAAATAATTAAATAAAAATGAAAACAAAATTCAAAGAAAATTTAATTTAAATTTCAACTATATCCTTTTAAATATTAAATATTAGGGGTATTACACTCATCAACCACCAAAATCGATCTTGGAAGACTTCTGTGGTGCTCAACTCTTTTAATCCTAAAGATAGTGCTCGTATCCTTCAGATTCCCCTAAGCTCTCTGAACAGACCTGATTCTAAGATTTAGGGTCTCACTCCTAATGGCCAGTTCACATACTACGCTGCTCTTTCCATTATCAATCCCACCCCTAGTCATCAAGGCATTGGATGCAGCTATGAAACGGATCTTAAACTCATTTGGAAGAATGTTTGGAAAATCAAGACTCTGAGAAAGCTTCATTTTTTTCTCTGGCAAGCCATTCATGGTCGTCTCCCAGTCAACCAGGCTCTCAAAATCAAAGGCATTAATGACCAAGGCCTCTGTAACGTTTGTGGTTTGGATCATGATCAGTTGACCACCTCCTCTGTCTTTGCCCCTTCGCCCAAATTGTTTGGAAGCTCAGCCCTCTTCATCTTGATTTTTCTAACTCTCCTCCCATGGAATGGCATAAAAGATGGATTAATCTGTCTCTCTCCTGGAATGATAACAAATGCTTCCCTGAATGTGCAAGTTTGGCTTTGTTTATTTGCTAGCATATTTGGAAAAGCCGGAATTCTCTGGTTTTCAACAACTTAAGGGTTAATCCCCATATCATCCTTGATAGAGCGCTTCATGATTTCTCTAACTTCTCGTCTTTTTATCTTCAGGATAGCCTTTTGGATTTCCATGTTCCAGTTTCCCACCCTCCGTCTTCACATTGGATTCCTCCCCCACAATCATCCATCAAATTAAATTTTGATGCCTCTTTTGACGCTTCTACTAACAGAGCAGGTGGTGGATTTATTCTCAGAAATCATGAAGGCCATCTTCTTCAATCTTTTGGCCTTGTGTTTCAGAATGTCCCTTCCGCAATCGTTGCCGAAGCCCTCTCTCTTCGAGTTGCAGACCAAACATGCATTGATTTGGGACTCCCTAATGTTCTCATTGAAGGAGATTGCCAACCCATTATGCATCTTCAGTTTATTGATGAAGCTATTTCAAACATCATTTTGGATGTGCAACATCTGATTCAGATAGGCGATGACCTATCCCTCCACTGGACCCGGAGATCCGGTAACCAAGCAGTGCACGAACTGTGTAGATTTGCTCTTAACTTTGTTCTTTCTTCTTCTGTCACTGATATGGGGCCTTTTTTACCCTCGCGTGTAAGGGACGCCCTTTTCCGTGACTGTTCTTTTGTTTCTTAGCTTTCTGTCCCTATTGCTTTGCTAATATATATATATATATATTGGTTGGGGAAAAAAAAAAAGTAAAAAAATTATTGAGGTTATGGAATTTTGGATATGTTGATGGCAATGATGGGTATTTTATAAATATTTTGAATATTTCTGTATTATTACAACTAAGAAATATGTTATGGACTAATGGGTATTGATTCAGAAAAGTGCTAAAAAATTTAATAAAAAGAAGGCCAAATTGCAAAAGTTTTCTTCAACTATCAGTATATACATATTGAAAGGCAAGATTAGTTATATAAATGAAAATAATGTGCACACACAAAATTGGGCCAAAGAGAGAGCTAAAGCCCATTACAAAAGCTGTTAGCTTCAAAAGACAACCCAAAAAGCAAATGACATTAAAGTAAAATAG